TTTATATTTAATGCCGCCACCTTCGCCTTCCTTCGAAATCGATTTTCAATACAGTGTATGGAGTTTCCATGAAGTATTCTAAAGATGTTCGGTCAATGAAAGTACACCAATATTCTATTTTATTTCATTTTTGAGGTCTTCAAAAGCTTAAAACTCCAAAAATCCTAGGTGACATTTTCTTGAAAATCTACATTTGCTTTGATATTGAAAGTCATATACAAAATTCCTAGCCCCTATCTGAAAGAAGATGCATCAATTCACTTTTGAGAAAACTGCGCAAATTTTTTGTTTTATAAAGAGTGTCCTATAAGTTTTGGACCTCAACAAAAATTTATTTATGCATACACAAAGAATGATCCCTATCAAATTATACCTATATGAGCTGCGAGTACTTAGGACGATGTTTTAAATTGAATATTATTCGATGATATCATCTCTTTTAATAATAGTGATATAAACAGATGAAACATGATAATTAAAATCTCAAAAAATGGCTAGTATTTTTTTTTAAAGTGTTAATAAACTATGACTTCATCGTATGATATCATCAGATAATATACCATTGAAAATATCATGATAAGTACTGAAAGCTCATAGATTTAGTTGGATAGGAATCACTCTTTGTTTACATATAAACTAACTTTCGTTGAGGTCCAAAACTTATGGGATGCACTGTATTTATACTTGAAGAGCTTTCAAGCACCAGCATCAAATATGATTGTATTACATATCAATAAAAAAAATCGTCTTGAAGACCTACAAGCTACGTGTTGAACCATGACGAAGAGTGATGATTGTAATTTCATCTTTTAGATAGAGAGCTCTAAATATTCATCACGAATTTTGCAGAAATCTTTTGAAATTAGACGTTATTTCTTGAATCTAGGAAGTAGATACTTTAAGGGTTATGTCTAGTATATGTTTATCTCGCCAAGTATCTTCATTTGAGAAAAATCGATTTTTCAGAAGGGACAATCTTAAATCATATTTCTTTATTTTTTGAGTACTTGTTACAGATGGTGATTCTTTTGAGCCAAGATGAAAAATAAGAGATGTAAAAAAACCAGTAATAATAATAATATGAGTTAACATCTATAAACAAAAATTTTATTAATATTTTTACAATTTTAAATTCGCTTAATATTACTCGAAAGACATTGGCATTCATTTGCGTATTATCATTCGTTTGATTTTTATCAAGAAGTAACCAAGTTACAGTATAAACAAATATATTTGCAACAATTGACCATGCATGACGATATGCATTTAATGCAACACGTTCACCATCTTTTGATGTTAATTCATTTAACATTGATAAATGTCCAATTTGTGAACATGCCCAACCAAATTGAAATATTATTATAAATATTGTATAATAAATAAATGGTGGTAAAATAAATGCAAGACTTTCATTTTCTAATTGAAAACATATTGAAAATGAACTGAGTACACAAATAACTCCTATAGATATTCAAAAATATTTTCTTTTTTTTTCAAAAAAAAAACAAACAAATGAATATGAGCTTACAAACCTAATAAATGCCATGGTTTTCGTTTACCATATTCACCCTGTTTAGTTCGATCTGAAGCAAAACCAACAAATACAGTTACTAGAGCATCGGCTACTTGACCAATTAATAATAAATAACCAGCAGAACTATTTGAAAATTTTGCTACACGATGATAGAAGACAAGTGAATAAGAAAACCATACAGATGCACATAAATCATTAAGAAAATGACCTATACTAAATGCAAATTTTCGACAAGGTAATACATCATCTATTTCCATTTTGATTGATTTGTAATATTTTTTTTTCTATGGGAAATCTAAACAAGAATATTTTGATTTCATTGTATCGAAACAGACAATACAGTCTATATCAAGTGATCCTTTTTTGTTCATATCTCATTCATACAAAAATAGAAAAAATTTTTATGAATTCGAAATTTCACTAACAGTTAAGATTTATTAATAAATCAATGATAAAATAGGATTAAATCAATTGCTAACTTACACAAATAATATTTTAAATAAAAACCGTATTTCAATCAAGTCACCAGCTCGATGATTATAATTTATCCATGCTCACATAACATTCAAACCAAATGCTATTCAATGACGTGCTTTACCAAGTATTTGGTCGATCTAAATTGTCAAATACATATGCACGTATTTCATATTCTTATGTACACATACTTGATTAGGTAAGTAAATGGTCGTATTTGTGTATTCGTCAACACTGTAATCAACAGGAAACTATATGAAAGTCAAATACGAACAGGTGTCGCACGTTGATATTACCAAAGGTATAAATTTTATTTTCCTAACTTTGATTAAATATTTTTATATGATAAAAAAATTTATTTAAAAACAAATATTTACATCAAATATTTTGAAAGACATTACACAACAGTAGTGAGATTCAAGCAAAAAAAAAATCAAGATTAATAAACCAAATGCTAGTATATTTATAATAGATATTCTTGATTAGATGTTCGTAATAAATAAACATTAATATTAATTAATGAAGATTAAATTGATTCGATTACATTTATTGTTTATTATAATGTTTTCAATTGATCAAGAGGAACACAATTTGTTGAGAAGTATTGGCTTGATTTTGTATATGTACAAACTTGTCACTACCCCCATAGGGGTAGTAGCAAATAGCAAGATTTTTATGTTGTGCACAGACACATAGACAACAAAGTGTATTCGTTTTCTTGGTCACGCTTCAATGATAATAATCAAAACATTCATATACATATTGCGTTCGATTTTTCTTTTTTTTTTTTTTGCATCAAGATAAACGAATAAATAATTGTTCAGTCATGCAAATATCTGTACATTTTAGATTAAAAATAATTTTATTCTTTCAATGATACTATTTTGTTTTATTCATAGTACCAATTGAATATTTATCAGTTCTTTACGCAAAACTTTATTGAAATTTGATATAATCCTTAGACAAACAATTTTCTTTTTACTATATTTAATCGTCTATATATTAGTTTATAAAGATTGAAGATAAGGTTTCTTTTTCTTTTCTTTTTTTTATTCAATTTCATTATAAATATATCTGATCGGCTTTTTCGTATTCTCTCAACTCTATGTCTGTACGTCGTCATGATCAATAAAATAAAAACTGGTGGTTTATGTTTTTGTTGTACAGGCAATCGACGTAGTCGTCAATATAAAGAATCAATTAATCTCTCAACTTGTTCAGCAAATAATTGTAAACATGCTTGTAAAATTCGTTATCATAATCAATGTATTGGGCCAGTAAGTTCAGGAGTTTAAATCGATTCATTAGTTACATGTAAATACTATATTATTTGATTAAGCTTCCTCTTAAAAGAAGTCAATTTTCGTCAGAAAATTTGAAATTATGATAAATGCATGGGAACATAGTCCAAGATCGAATCTTTCATCAACGACATGATTTCTGATTTGGCAAGGTTTGTGTTGCCAAAAATTTTAATGATTTCTGTCACCATCTGCTTGAAAAATGTGTCTTTTTTTAGCAAAAAGCCGAAAATCCTTTTCCGGCTTTTTCTTAGCTTATGCTTCTTCTGGTCACGCATCCCAGAAATCTTGAAAGAGCACCATAGTAGTCAATTATGACCATTTTTTGAGAGATTTTCGAATTATTGAACTTGTCATCTTTTTCCTCCACATAAAAAGTGAGAATTTAAACAGAGAGAACTGCAAACTGACATAATTTTTCAAGTAAAAAAAACAAAATCTATAGAATTAAGATTTATGAAGAAGTTTGCGTTTCCAAATGACGTATTTTTGACTCTTGTTTATTAAATATCTCCCGAAAACATCATGATATATGGCTGAAAATTTTAGTGTAGCTTCTTCACTACAGCCACAACAAATTCTAAAAATTTCATGCGGTTTTAATGTACCAGACCTAAAATCGATTTTTGAGGGACTTCAAAAGTTAAGAATTTCTTAACATAGTATTATCAATTTGAAAATACCAAAAGTTTTCTAAGTCAATCAACATGTTTCGAATCTCTTTGCAATTATAATATTATCGATTGTCGTATAACAGCTATGCTAGATTATATTTACTAAATGCAAATCTTTCTAGATACATTGAAATTCTTCTACGAGTCCAACGAAGGAAGTCCTCCAACTATTCGATTGCTTTTGAGTCGTGACTATGTGCATTATGTAGAACCAAATGAGCTATGAATACTCTAAAAAGAGTTCGTATTCTTAACTTATTGCTATGGAGATACTGCACTTTTACAGTATTTTGTAAATAAATGCTGCGACCGAGAAAAAGTGCTTTTCGAATTTGTATTTGACATTTTGCATAGAGACAGACCTTAATGAGAATAGTTTTTTTTTGTGAATGTCGTTGTTCCTATTCTAAAATACAGCAATGGTAATAGCATGTCATTTACATCATACATAAATCAGCAGATTTGATGTTCTTATTTCATGATAGAAGCAAATCAAAAAATCTGAAACTACTCTTGTTAAGATCTGTCTCTATGCAAAGTTACAAGTCAAAATTCGGAAAGCAGCTTTCCTGGATCACGATATTTATTTAAAAAATACCGTAAAGATACAGTATCACCATAGCAATAAGCTAAGGGTACGAACTCTTTCCAGAGTATTCATAGCTCATTTGGGTCTATATAATGCACATAGTTCTGATTCAAAAGCTATTCAACAGTTGGAAGACTTTTCTCATAAGTTAAGCTATTTATCTATTCTACTACGCAGGTTGTTAACGTCACGCAAGAAGATTTAATGTCACATTTATTACTCCACCAATAATCGCCCATCTTTGTGTGAATTTACTGTGAGTTTTATTTTCTGAACTATAAAAAAGCTGTATGAAGAAAAAGAAAAAAAAAACTTTCGTTAATTTATTTTATTTTTTTCAAAAATATTAAAAAGAAAAAAAATAATAACTGACTGTACAAATAAAATATTATACATTACAAAAAAAAAGGTAGCATTGAAAAATCTTTTCATGGTGTAAGTAATCTTCGTAATTGAGAATCTTTTAAACATCCGTCAATAAATTCTTGTCGAGAAAGTTTTCGATCACCATCAATATCAAATTTGTCAATAATCATATGAGCTAGATCTTGTGGTTTAAGATCTTGTTTAAGTTTCCTTTTTCCATTTACTTCATAAATTAATTTTATAATTTCAGCTAACAAAAAAAAATCAATCAGAAGTCATTATTGGATATTAATTCGAAATAATAATACAAACTTAGTTCTTTTTTATCAAGTGAACCATTATCATTGATATCATACATTGAAAAGGCAAGATCAAGACGATCTTTTAGTTCACCTATATAATATAAATGAATAATATAAATGAAATGAATAGATTCTTACTACTCATAGTCAACACAATAGCTGTTAGAAATTCATTAAAATCGATAATACCTAATAAAAAGAATTATTTTATCATAATTTTAAAAATAAAATTTATCAAACCATTTTTATCTTTGTCGAATGCTTTGAATGCTAATGAGCAAAAATTGGTTGCCTAATATAAATATAAAGACTTCAGAAAAAAAAATTTTCTTTTTACTGATTTCATACGTTTCCTTGTGGATAAAATTTTCGATAAACTTCAATAAATTGTTTTCGATCAAGTTTACCTATTGAAGAAAAACAATAAAGATGGTTAATTATTGAAAATAATTAAATAAACCTGATGGATAATCGCGTATAAAATCTAAACGAAAAGAAGAATATTAAAATAAAATTTAGAATGAAAACAAATAAAAAGAGAAAAATAACTAACTTTGATGCCATTCACGAATTTGTTCAGCTGAAAAATTCGTTGATGAAATAAGTATTTCAATTTGATTATCAGTAAGTTCAGTAAAATTTGCCTTTTTCCTTTTTTCTTTTAATGCTTTATTGCCCATTGTTGTTTCTCTTTGTTCTTCGCTTGATGTTGAAATGTCAGAAGACACAATTATTTCAGTGTTCTGCACTTCTTCTCTTCTTATTTCGTTTTTTATTTTATTGCTGTTTCGAATAGGTGAATGCGTAGATGGTTCTGTTTCAGATGGATTAAGAGATGAGCAAATATTAGCGTCAAATTTATGTACAAGTGCTGAACAAGCTTGAGTCGTAAATGCGTACATTTGAAATATTTTTTGATTAATACTAAACTGAATAACGACGAATGAAGAATTATTTCTACCAAACTAACATCTCAAACAATATATATATATATATATATATATATGAAAGAACACAAGTAAATATAAGCTATAAAATAAGCAAACGAAACATCTATCATAAAAATGAATCATTCGACTTTATAAGTGAAAGATCAAATTCGAGAATGAATATTGTGCATTAATAAGATCTTCAATATAGTGATGTCATATATCAACTTATTATGTAATATGATACTTCTTTAGTTTTCTTAAATCTTATCAGTTCTCAATTAATAATTGTTATTTACAAACCAAAGTAAAACGTTTATTATATGTATAGATTGTCGATCACGTAATAAACATACCTAGTTATATGGCATGATAAGAGAGCAAATATTTTCGTATATGTCCATATAAAATTCAACAATAATATTAAGATTTTTGTTGTCATATTGGTTTGATGATAAAGAAAAAGTTTACTTCAAACATAAAGACTTTTTCATTTCGTTCTCATATAGATAGTACGAAATGAACTATTCAATTGTAAAGAAAAAAGTTTCTCCTTGATTTGATTGTACCTTTTGCCAAGTGAAATTAAAAGATTGAGTTACTTACATTATATTGCTTCGAAAGATGCGGTGTTGAAAAGAGAATATATATACATGAATTGGTACGTGCTTGTATGTGTGATTTTTTTCTTCATTCTTTCGACATTTACAACATGAAGTTGAAGGAACACAAAAGTCATTTCTCATATGTCTTTACAATTTTAATATTATGATTCACAATACAGAATGTTTCATAAGTCTCAAGACACTATGAAATTAGTTTATATGTAGACAGTACATAATTCCTAACTAAATATTTCTTATATGTGCCTTGAGTACTTGTGTCAATCTTTCGAATGACATATTATTGAATAGTATTTTCCCTTGCGATAATAAAAATATAAACATGACTATGTGAGAATAAATTTTTCTCAATCGGCTAACGTGTTTTTTTCAAAGGTTTTTTAATAGAGTGCTGAACATTTCTACATAAAACATAGTGTAATAGAAAACAATAATTATTTATCTTATTCGCTTATTCTACGCTCATTACAATCCACTGGTTACATGTTTAATCAAGCTATGTACTCAGTAACTGGATTGAAATAAATGAAATATAGGAAAATGTCGCTTTCAGAACGAAATGCAAACAATAAAGATTTTATTTTGAACTATTGATGAATTATTTAATTATTGAATTTTACCTTAAGCAAGTGACGATTAAATTGTTGACGTATGACCTACTGAAATGCATGCCGCTAAGCACTATGGATTGTATCAAATTTTAATAGGATTTCGGGTTTTCAGAGAAATTATTGAGAGAAATTTGGGATCAAGTCGAAAAATTACCGGAATTCGTGTAATCCATTATTTATATAGGTTGTCGATTATGCAATACATATCCAAAATTTATATGAAAAAATGAGAGAGCAAATGTTTCCGCATATGTTGACATAAAATTCAATAATGGCAATACGATTTTTGTTGTTGTAGTCGTCCGATGATGAAGAAAATATTTAGTTCAGGAATAAAGACTGTTCCACAGCGTTCTCATATAGATAGTACCAGCTTTTCATTCTACTACATGATTGTATTAATTGTAATAATTCTCTGATCAACAATAATCATGAAAGGGAACGATAGACATCAACAAAATGAATCACTAAACATCATCTTATTCAACAACAGGGTGTTATAAATGATATACGAGGGAAAAACAACAGACTTCAAGATTGAAGTCTGCTGTTTACTCGCGATGATATTCAATTATAAACTTAACTATTTCCTTCGTTAAATGAATTTCTTTATAAAAACAAAATAGTGAAACAAAATTAATGTAGCTAGTAAGGTGCCCGTAATGTAAACCTTCAGTAGAAATTGTTTTTCGTGTTTTTTTATATATGTTTTGATAGAGTATGAACAGCTGATTACGAAAAATTGATTTTTAGTTTTTCAGAAACATTTTTTTTAGATCAAAAAAATTCAAAACTTTGGAGGGTACCATTTTTTTGAAAATATGCAAAATTGTCTATTTTACTGCCTTTTTTAGGTTGTAAAACTTATTTTTTCGACCTGAAAAATTCTTTCTGAAAAACTAAAAATCAATTTTTCGTAATCAGCTGTTCATACTCTATCAAAACATATATAAAAAATACAAAAAAAAATTTTACTGAAGTTCTGCATTGCGTGCACCTTACATGCGCAGGCTCCGCGCGAGGGTCCGAAGATTGGGAGGAGGAGATGTGTGCGAAAATATTTCAGAGATGCTTTACCGGATGTCCCAGAATGGTTTCAATATAGTCTATTTTGCATAGGATTCCCTACAGACGAAATATAAAATCTTGAGCTTCTTCGAAAAGATACGTGGTCAAAAGGTCTGGATAAGTTGTATGAATAAGTCTCTATTTACTTGCTTCAATGATTTTTGTAGACGATTAAAATCGAAGATATGTGTGAAGTGGCTATTGGATGTTCCAAAAAATTGGTAGCATTTTCTATTTTGCATATATCTTGGGTTGAGAGAGCGATAAACTCTTCAATTTTTTCAAAAGATGCGCTGTGAAAAGGCCTAGAAAAAATTATAAAAAACACGTCTATTGACCTATTCTGATGGTTTTCCTCCATTCAAAATGAGCAGCTCATTTGACACTATTATTTAGTTTTTTTAGTAAAAGATGCGCTATCGAAAGCGTGGGAAGTAGCACTATCATGTAGGTTTTTCATTTTGAATACAGAAAAGACTATCGGTACAAGGCAATAGGAATTTGTTATTAACATTTTTTGTAGAGGTTTTCACAGCGTATCTTCTTTTAAAAACATTCAAGATTTTATCATTTATCTAGGTCGAGCTACATGAGAAATAAAAAATGTTGCAAACATTTTGCCATACCTGATGTTTTTGTTACTCTGTAAAGAATCGAAAATAGCGACGTTTCACACATCTTTACTATTAATTTTTCAAAAACCTATCAAAACAAGTCAGAAGAAAATTTGTTACAGTTATTGTAGAGAATTATATGCAAAATAGACTACATTGTAAACATTCTGCAACATCCGATAAAAAATTTCAAAAAACTTTTACCCATTTTGTTGAATAATCATGAATGATTTTCAATTATTCGGGAGTGTACACCTCCTACACTCCCCCCTACTTTCGCAGATGCTGCTTACATGTCATATGACATGACCAGATATATCTTTTTCTTTTTCTTCTTAATTTCAAAATAATTTTCTTGTCATGCGCAGCATGTCAGTTATAAAAGAACTTTAGTCCTTGTAATCGTATGCATCGAAAAAATTTTTTAAACATAAAATATTGAAGTAGAGAATATAATGGCAGGATGATATAGTTCTGTATATAAATAGACATTCAAAGAAGATTCTTAGTTTGACAACAACTATTAGCATTTTATAGACGGAATTTACGCAAGAAAAATGTCTACATCGGTCAATTGGACACGCAAAGCTGCTACTGACGAAATCACCATTTATCTTGGTATACCCATTCTTGTTATTGGAGTTCTTGGTAGAATTCTCAATATTATTATTTTTATGAGTCTTAAAACATTTCGACAAAATTCATGTGCTTTCTTTTTAACCATCATGTCATTTGTTAATATTGGTCAATTACTATTAAGTTTATTTAGTCGTATTGTGATTATTGGATTCAATGTTGATTGGACAGACTCTTCATTGACTTTTTGTAAGTTTAGATATTATTGTCTTCAAGTATGTGCATTAACATCCTATACATGTATGTGTTTGGCAACTATTGATCAATTCTTGGCTACTTCACTTCATGTTTACTGGCAACAATTTATTAATATTAAAAAAGCCTATGGTCTATGTGTGTTCTTCTTTATTATTTGGCTTCTTCACGGCATTCCATCATTGATTTGGTACAATTTGGGTTTATCATCCATTAAAGGAAAACTAACTTGTACAATAACAAATCCTGTTTTTAATGTGTACATTGCATATGGATATTTACTCATATTAACTGGGGTATTACCAATCTGTATAACAGTATTATTTGGATTTTTGGCATATTGGAATGTGAGACAAATACCCTATCGAACAGTTCCATTGGTTCGACGTGAATTAGATAAACAATTAACATCAATGGTTCTTGTACAAATTGTCTTTAATTGTTTTATTATTTTACCATACATCATATGTCTGTTTCTGGTTGATATTCTGGATCCTAATAGTGAATCAATTAATATTTCTGATTTAAATTTTGCTCAAGATATTAGCATTATACTGTATTACTTATATTTTGCAGTGAGTATAAATAGTTAAAACTTTGAATGATGATTTTTGAATTGTTTTAGAGTTCATTTTATATTTATATTTGTGTATCAAAACGATTTCGTCAACAATTAATGTATGTTCTTATTGATATTTATCATTAGAGATGGAAACATCAAGCAAATGCAATGAATCAGGTTTTACCTGAAGGAGAGGAACAATGATTGATCGTAAAGTAAAAGAATTTCAAAAAAATAACAAAACCGTACTGTTATAGTTCAATATAGCCGATGAATAAAATATGATGACTTACAATTACACGTTTGACAAAAATAAAAAATATATGAAAGTCTAAATGAATTGTTAGCAGACATATTGAGATTAATCGAACGTTTTTTCATCCAGAAAAATCTTTTAAAAATTTGATTTTTTTGTTGTACATGTTCTCTTTTAATCTTGGCCAAAATATATTTTTCTTTTTGTGTTATTTGCAAGTATACGTCATTGCTTTTGTTAACTAAAAACTATATAGTTTGTCAATAAATCATAGTCAATATTATTTCAGAAGCCTTTTTTTTTGTTATGCAAATTATTGAATAAGTTTTCTAAACGAATCAACATAATAATGCTTGGTATCGAGTTAATTCAATTCTATTGAAAGTAGAAGGTCCAAATGAGTCACATTTATAATAAGAGTGTTCAGAGAATAATAATGACTGTTTCTTCCTGTATATTAAAACAATCTGTCACTATTGTACCCAGTTCGAAATTCGGAAAGTGTGTTACTATGCAAATAATAAGTTTAATATATTACCGTGTCAAGAACGTGTACTTTTGGAAGTCACGAAAAATTATTTTATGTTCAGAAGTTTTCATAGGCATATGATGACTCATATTGGTATGATTGTGTAAGATATTAAGCATTTATTTCATAGATCCATAAACATCTTTTACTTATGTTTTTTTTTATAGTTCTTTGAACTTGATATTGATACTTTAGATATTAATCACTTTATAAGAATATCAATTAACTTAGAAAATTATGTTACAACCGATAAATCTGTGTTAAGAAAACCATGAACACTTCTAAGACATTGTCATTCTATTAATTGAGTACTGCAGAAGAATGATATTGCTGATAATGTATTATGTACTAATAAACGATATGGTCCCAATCAATGCTTTTATTGAAATTTAATTTAAGCATATAACAGCATAATTATAATAGAGCAAAGGACACTTTATTATAAATGATTGTTATAGTTGCTAAACTCTATCTCATACGTTTTCTCAGGGCCACACTACATGGAATTGTATTGAGGAAAACTTCTCTCGTCAGTTATTGAAAGCTTCCAGTTTTGATGATACTTTTTGAAAGAGTCAGCGATCAAACTTCTATTGCATACCTCCTAGTCACAATAGACATCTGTCAATTCTTAATAAAGAGAAATCATGATTTTTGGTTATTTTATGAGTAGGTAAATGAACATTTTTTCAATTCTTTTTTCTCGTTTCCTGGTCTATCTTCTATTAGACGATACATCGCATACTAGTGTTGGATGCATCTAATAGGGGTGGCTATTCACCGTCTCTTGCATTTTTCAAAACGTTTATGTAACTTGTTCTGAACTATCAATTTGTGCTCAGAATGTCGTCTTTTTTTTATCGGTATTGGAGATTTATTTTTGAGAAAAAAGGCAATACAATTTACTTTTCAGGATAACTGCAAATAGTCATCCCCGACATCAACATGCATGAGACTTTTTGTCTTTTTCTTAACTGTACAATCCATGCTCGCACAATCGCTCATCCAAAACTAGTCTATTCAATGTATAATTAACAACTATAGTGTTCTATCCAAGAGAAAAATGAATGCCTGGAAATCTGAAACCGAAAATTTAGAAAATCTTGGCTTTTGACACCAAAAAAAGATTTTGTAGTGTGGTAATTTCTCGAAGATTTTTATATTGTAAATTTTCCAAATTTTGAGACTATATCGAAAAAATGCCGTGATATAAGAGGATTATCCATTTTCAAATGGTTCTCTACTGCGGACGGGATCGAAAAAAACTGTCTACAAAGGAAAGTTCGACTGTAAGTTTAATTTATTCGTAGAGTTCAGTTGATATTTATGTTTGTATATTCAAAAGATTTCGTCGATAATTTGTTTATGTTATCTTTGGTATTTATATTAAATATTGGAAACATTCAAGCGTGTCTTTTAATCATGTATCTTCTTATCTATAAAAAAGTATTGCTAGAAATATAGAAAAAAAGTATTCTGGTCAATTTTGTTAAATTATATTGAATTAAAGATATAAAATAGACTTTAAAATAAATCTCTAAACAATTTTTCTTTATGATATCATTTAATAAGCGATACGAGATAAAAATTTTTACTACTATATTTACTTGAATAATCTATAAAATAAAAGAGAATAAGAATTTGTAGGATGAATAAATGATAACATTATCAGTCATATATCTTTTAACCTTTGTGTTTATAAAAGATTTTCTGATTAATTGTGTTTACAATAAAAACTTGATATTATTCGTTTTGTGTTATTCCATAAATAAATCTAAACGTGACTTGTATAAGTGTCTTACAACTAATTGGTTTTCTAATTATAGAACTCTCTCATATATTTTGTTATATTGCTTCAACTCAGTATCATATGGTACAAGAACTTCGGCATTAATCATATCCTGTATTTCTATTTTGATAACTACAATGAAAAAGATTCGAAAAAATTTCATTTTTTTTTTTTTCGTAAAAATTTGATAATCTGATTATGTTTGGTGTTAGTATTTCACAGTGTTTTATATATCAATTCAAAAGAAAACAATAATATTGAACAAGTTTTTCGTCAGTTAGAAGAATTTATTTCTTCTTATTGAATCACAATTAATTAGATTCCTTTTTTTTTCTTTATCAAAATTTGAATCTATTTGTTGTTGAATATTTCAAATTCAAAAACATGAGAAAAGCAAGTACATTCTGCTACAAATTTTTATACTTTCCACATTCAATTATTGACTTATACAACATAAGTATAGCTTAAACAAATACAAATTAATTAACACAAATATTTCTATATAATCTCTTAACTAATACTTAAACAAAACTAATAATTAATAACTTTGACTGGTCATGAGTATGAAGATAAATCACAACGAGTTATAGGTTTGTTTTGTTTTTGAATATTTTTCAGTTGTTATCGAGTGCTTTTTCCAATTATTTGATTGATTATCGATTATTGCGAATGTATTAATAAATTTTTGTTCGCTTTTGTTTTGGAAACTGAAATGATAAGCACGAGAACTTTTAGCACCAAAATATTAAGCACGCAAAAACATGAGGGCAAAATATGAGGTCTATTGAAAGATCAATGAGTGTATACGGAAACGGATGTACGTGAGCGTGTGGGTGTCAACATTAGTCTTCTCTAGACACGTACTTCAATTCAATAATAGAATTCCAATACAGTAAAGCCTCCCATAGTGGACACTTCGCAGTCCAAAGGAGCGATTTTTGTTGGGGTTGAATATCTGTGTAGTGGACATTAATTATGAATTCAAAGAGAATATTACGATGATTATCATCGATCACTCAGCATAATGACTCTTCTTTATTGATCAGAAGACAGAATGACAAAAAGAAAAAAAAGATGTTTTAGTGGTGGTGAAGAAAGAATACGTTCTTTCTATTGATTAGGCGAGACGAATCTGATAATTGCATTGAAACATTTGTGTTATTTTGCTACCATTATTAAGAGAAAAGACTATTATGTCTAATCGACGAGTGTTGACTGTCGAACAAAACATTGCACTAATGAAGGACAATCAAAATGATCATGATTTATCAACTTCATCTTTTTGCGTCTATTCAATAGTCTCAGTTATACACTCTTATCTCTGATCTTGAATCATAATTAATTGACATTTATCTGGATTTGAAAGTAATGAAATAAAATTCTATCAAAGATTATTTTGACAATTGTTGATTTTTCTATTTTCAAAAATAAAATACATGGAAAGAAAAGTAATAACGTACTCTATTCAATTATCTTATTCACTAATACTCCAGATGACTAGAAACGTGTTGATTTCTTCGAAAAAAGACACTATTTTTGAAACATACACAATTTCTCTATAGTGGATACTTTTGAAAAGTCCAAAGAATATTCACTATCGAAAGATTTTACTGTATTTCAAAGCTTATCTCATTGATTATGAGCTATATCAATAACTGTTGCGCCACAAATATAGAAACATGTCTGTCTTTGACAGCTAAATGAAGAATGATCCGATGAATCGTTTGTTTTAATAAAATATTCGAAGGAAACTGAATAACATTCGAAACTCAAGAAATCTTAGGCTTAGGGTTTTTGATTGACTCTAGCATTTAGTCTAATGATGTTGCCGAAATCTCTCTTTTGACATTCTCTAATATCATTCTTCTACTTCAATTGTTTCTCGATGGAAAAATATTATGTCATGTCGTTCAGTAAATAAGAGTATTTGTCTTCATTTAGGTAAAAAACGACCAAAACGATTTAAGTGAATGTCTGATCTTCTCACCATTCTTATCTACACCTACACTCTTTATCTTCATTTTTTTTTGTGAATATTGAACTTTCCTTGTGCTTATCGTTCACTAATCGTTGTCTTATAATAATAAAAGTAAACGAAAGCATCGATCAGTTAAATTGTCTAACTTTTAAATTTCGTTTGCGTTTGTATTCGATAACAATGTTTTGAAACTGTTTTTATACAATTTTTCTTTTTTATTTCTACAGTTTATATAATATAGAAAGAGTTTTGTCAACTTTTTTTAATTTCGATTTTCATCTAATTTTCAAAATAAAACTCATCTACTTACAAGTTCATCATTTTACTTTTAATCTCACAAAACTTATTCTTACACAACTTCGAATGAGAATCAACTATGAAACTTTTTACATCAATTCAAGACTTAATGTTTGCTATTTTTTTTTTAAATTTTTATTCAAACTATGAAATCATGGTTTGTTTGCCATATATAGACAGTAAAACATATTCATCGATTTGCGTTTTTGTATTATATTTTGAGTCCAGATTCACTAAGCGCTGTTTTGGCATCATAGTAGGCAAATAAAAGAGTCAAGGTGCTTTTTTTTAAAAAGATTTTGATCGAATACTTTTTGTTCTTTTTTTTTACTTTACATTAGACGAAAGGAGAAGAGTATTTTTACCTGTTCTGCATCATCTTTTCGTTGTCTCAATTGATAATAATGTTGAGTTTTGTCAGGTATAGATTTTGTATTTGTCATTAAAAATGTTGAATTTATCTAATGTTTTGTTCTTGCTTTCGATTGCTATTGTGTCGTCAACGGAATTACTTCGGTACTTCTTTCTAATCAATTATTTCTTTAAAAAAAAAATGATCATTTTATAGAATGTCATGTTATCGAATGACAGATACTTCAGTACAAAATGATCGTATAGAACACGAAACAATAAATTTAACTTATAAAAGTTCATTACGATTTAGAGGCAAGACAAATGTAATTAGAGAATCATTATTTAATCAAGCAAATGTACGTTCAATCATTAAAATTACAAAGTTAATTGTTTATTTTTTTCTTTCTTTCTTTCGTTCAGTATTATTGGATTGGTTTAATTTCAATCGGTACACCAGAAAAAACTTTTATTATCAATTTCGATACAGGTTCTACTGATTTATGGGTACCATCAATTCAATGTCTTTCTACTTGTGGTGAATATTCTTCAACAGAAAAACAAAATTTTTTAAAAAAAAAATATTTCGCATCAATATACATTTTAGAAAACAAAGCAAAATACGATTTATATAGTTCGTATACATCTCGAGCTAATGGAGCTACCTTTAGAATTAAATACGGTGATGGGTCATATGTTAATGGTATTTTCATTAATGATACTGTGACAGTATGTAATTATGACTGATCGTTAAATAAGAATTAATAATTGAAATTTCAATTAGATAGCAAATTCATCTGTATTAAATCAAGCATTTGCTCATGCAAAAAATATATCAGGTTTTAGTTTGTCAACATTTGATGGTGTTTTAGGTCTTGCTTATCCATCACTTGGTACATCTGGTCAGATTCCTATTTTTTATAACATGTGGCAACAAGGTCTTATATCTAATCCAATTTTTTCTTTTTATTTCAATCCGTATGATTTATTTTATTTGATAATTTAAAAATATTATTAATGAAAATTATGTTGTTGTTTTTTCTCAGAAATCCAAATTCTTATCCAGGTGGTGAACTTATTTTCGGTGGAGTAGATTCAACTAAATATTTAGGTTCAATTACTTATGTAGATGTTATTATACCTGCCTATTGGGAATTTATGATGGATAGGTGAAGAAAATATTCTAAAGAAGAATTTTTATTTATATTTATTCTCAATATAGTGTACAAACAAATGATAAAATAATATGTTCAAATTGTCGTGCTATTTTGGATACTGGTACAACATTAATTGTTGGACCATCAAATCAAATAGCATTACTTAATTATGCTATTGGTGGAATATATGATCAAGAAACTGGATTAGTAAGATTAATAATGATATGATTTTTTTTTATCAGAAGTCATCGTCTTCTTTTTTTTTTTGAAAATGAAATAGTACACAGTTGATTGTTATACTCGTTTATTATCTGATTTTCCTGATGTAGAATTTTCAATTGGTAATATGACATTTACATTATCAGTATTACAATATTTACTTATTTCAAAAGATAATGATAATTTTGTATGTTATACTATTTTTCAAGGTATTAATTTACGTGATAATCGTGGATATCTAATATGGATTCTTGGTGATTATTTTCTTAGTCGTTTCTATTCGATTTATAATGTTAAACGTAATCAAATTGGTCTTGCTAAATCAATATCATATAATTACTTACAAATAAATCCGAAATCATTATTTGGAAATTCAAGTAATAAAAATTATTTTCAATATATTTTACAATTATTTATATTAATTATTATTCTTGTTATAAGAAATATCTTTTTTTTTTAATATATAGATAATATATTGTCTAATAAATCAAGTTTTAAATAACAATCGTATAAATATAAATATGTGAAGAATTATAATAGCATTGCTTTAACAAAGAAGACAGTGGTATGCACTTATTTTAACTGACGTTTGATTTATATAGTTATGTAGATTTATGATAATTTCTACAAGACAAATTAATGGCAAATAAAAAAAGAGTCATTGAGTAAAGTTTGTTTTATAAGCTATTTTCTTTGTTCGACATAATTGACAGTCAGCAGTGGTTATCTGTCTTATATTTATGTAGAGCTTTTTCAGCTTCATATGCATATGATGTGCTGATTGCCTAATATAATAAAATAACATGACAACAAATTTTTTCTCTTTCGTGCATATGTTATGTCAACTAAAGATCATCATAGAGAGAATAGAATAGAATAGAACAAAACATACATCGCCATAAAAAATATAATTATAACAAAATTTCTTTTTTACTTTAATGTGTTCGACTACTTGATCAAGCATGATGCATGTTGGCATAACATAGTTTCTGCTTCATTTAACATACATTATAAAAATAATGGAAATGTCGATGTTTTTTTTTTAATTATAATATATTTTAATATAATATAAAGATATATTTTAATGATCTTTTGATACTGATAACAAGCAAATTAGTTCATCTATTTTTTTTTTCTTTTGATTTTATTGTATTTAAGTGCTATAAATACGACATTGTTATGAATACTAATAATATATTTCTTCATGGGACTATGTTTCTCGTTGTTCATTCATCTACATACATTATTTTTCAATTTTGACATAAATTCTAACAGTTTTGAAATGATGAAATATTGTTTATAGATTAAACAGTTATACTATCAAAATCTGTTGTGAATTATTTTCAATATTTACCATTAAAACAAAATTATACGTATCTAAATTGTATTGTTAATTTTCACTGATATTTTTTCGAATGTTTATAAATAAGATTTGTGTGATCTACATAATTTATGAGATATAAGTTTCAGATTATTTTGTTGTTTTCAACAACACATTAGACAAAATCCTCGTACGGCGTTGTATATTTCACTAATAGCTAATGTGAGTAGTTATGTTTATGTTACAATTGCCATTATCTCTAATGTTACTTACAACAATCGCTTTTGGCTTCCAATCAGCATTTGCTTGGCTTTTCAGGGTTTATTCTCGTTATTAATAACTTAGTTAGAATGTAAACAGAATACAAAGAAGCAGCTCAGACATAGAAGTTCTTTTATATATATGGTCATAGTTAAAATTAGATTGTTGATTTCTTTGTGTAATATTATACTTTGTACATCTGATCAATATGTAACAAAATTAGAGAAAAGAATTAATAATTTAAAATAAATTATCAAACAGAATTTTTAAATAAATTTAAATTATTCTTATTGAATGATTAATTATAAATTAATAAACTTTTTTCTCGTTAAAATTAAATTACAGATAAAATCTTCATGAACTATTTTCTAGTTAAATAAAAATTTCGACATCTTGATTCTGACATACATAGTGTCAGATATATTTTTAAGAGTTAATTTTATAATCAAGCAATATTCTACTATTTTGATGTCATGAAGCCGATTCTATTATATTAATGACGTATGAAATAAGTCTCTAGTCACTGTTTTTATTGGCCGGAAAGTATTTTGTATGTCAAAATGAACTATCGCATTAGAGGTCATCAAAAACATTATTAGAGTTATCGATCTTTAGGAAAAATCTATTTTCCTCTGGATTAGTTTAATGAATAAAATTAAGTTTTCTCATTAGAATCTATAAAAATGAATTAATGAATATTATTCTTCATTTTTCTTTTCTAAATTGTTTTTTCTTTGACATATTTAAAAAAAAATTAACATGAAAATGAAAAATTTAACTTGTTTTTGTTCAAAAATAAATTTGTATCATACTGCAATATCTTTTAATCAATATTGGAAAATCATTGTTTTTTTGTTACATATTTTTCTGAAAATATACATCGAAAGATTCTTAATTCGTATTTGTTAATTAATGCTTGGACAAACATAAAATCATTTTATACAAGAAAAACAATCACAACAATAACAATTAATCAATAGTCAAAAAAAAAAAAATATATATATATATATTTTATTGTATTCTGTAATTTCTTTACATAAACAAATGAATATTTAGTCATCTGATGATACTCTTTGTGATGATATAAGTGGAATCGAACAAGGTGCTGATGTATTACTTCCTCGATCACATTCAATATCAGGGATTTTCATACTTAATTCATATGCTCTAGGATTTGATTGGAATGTTGTTCCCGTTGACATATTTTCTATGCCGTTTTGCTTTTGTCTAGTACCAACATTAAATAAACCACAACATGTTGTTAAACTATGCCAATAATGTAAATAACCAGCACGAAAATTTGACGACATAACACCATATATAGCGGGGTTAACACATGAATTACTCATAGCCATAAGATGAAAAGCAAAATAAACATGTGGAACATAGTCTTGATGAATAATTTCATCAAGATATGGACGTAATATATTTGTATATAATTGCATTGGAAGCCAACATACACCAAACACAATAACAACAACAAAACACATTTTGATAACTTTTTGTTTAGATTTTTTTATTTTAGCATCACGTTCTGAATGTGCTTCACCTGGTGCACGACTTTGATGTAATCGCCAACCAAGACGTATATAAATTATTGTTAATAAACATAAAGGAATTAAATAAATGATAGTAATCGTTGCCATATTATAAGCTGCTTGTAATGATGGTGGAAGACCGGTTCCGTCACATATTGTTTGTGAATATTCTTTTATATTATTTGAATCAAGATGAAAACAATAATGACTTATATTCATATCAATAAATATTGGTGAACTGAATAATATTGAAAATGTCCAAAGTAAACCAATTAATAAACGACATTGTTTTCTTGTTAATTTTGGATTTAATGGATGAATTATAGCTATATAACGATCAACTGACATTGCTATTAATGTATAAACTGTACAAACGACAAAAACAGATTGTGCAAAAGATGTAAATTTACACATAAATGTTCCAAATGGCCAATCAGATAAAAGATAATCTGATATAAGTACGATCGGAATACAAAAAAGACCGATGAAAAGATCTGTTAGAGCTAAATTAGCAATGAATAAATTTGTCACCGTAACAATGCCCATGAAATGAAATACAATAAGACATACAAGAGCATTTCCACCAACAGTAAGAATACTCAATAAAGTATAGACAATAAGTGCTGTCGCTTGAAGATATGATGGTGGTATAGGTGGTGGTGAATCCATGTAAGTTGTTCCAGGTGGAGATGCATTGCATGCAATAGTAATTGTTAAATTCTTGGAATCCATTATTATCTATTTAATATTGTTCGATTATTTAGTTTCAACATAAACTTATTTTCTAAAAGAAAATATGAATATATAAATATTTCGATAAGCAACAAGAAAAAGAAAAGCCATTTTATTTATATGCTTTTAACACAAGAGCATTGTGCCTGAGGGAAATCCCATGAAATTAACTAGATCACTTGATTTGATTTATATTCTGAAGACTCGTCTAGCTATTTTCAAACAAAAATACACTAAATGTATTTATGTAACATAATTTCATTAATTGTATTGACTGTCCTATCTCTCCAGAGGTTAATTTACTAAAAAAAGCACATCATGTATGTAAAATCGCTTTACGTATTTTCGTTATAGATGTTGTCTAAAACAAAATGATCTTCTTAACATCACTTACTAAAGAAAAAAAAAAAGTACCGCTTGTATTATACGTGTTTCTTTTTTTTTGTATATCTCATTGTTAGCATATGTAAAAGCTTTTTTCGGACGATTTTTCTGTCGAACAAAATGATGCGATGTACTATTAAAATTATTAGTATGTGAAACTCGTCTTACCGATGCGCATCCGTCTAATATCCACTATTGAAGACGACGTGTTGAGAACAAGATAGTAGAGAAAGGAAGAGAAGAAGGAGAAAACCAGAAAAAGAAAAGGAGGAAAAGAAGATGAAGAAGAAAAGTTTTGTATAATATTTTATTCTCATATTGAGCCTATTGATCTTGATTATTTTTCTTCAATATAGCTTATAATAAGATAGTCAAAGAGAATCATATATTAACGTTAAATATTAATAACAAAATACGTATGTTGTCATGTTTACTATTCTTTAAAGAAGAAAAACTCGATATAAGTAATTTATATTTTTTCTGTTTTTCTATTTATACTTATTAAAAAAATAACACCAATGAATACGAATATGATACAATTATAGCTAATGAAGGTTATTTGTACTTGTCATTATGAAACATTATTCATAACATATTTTATGAATGTAAAGAAATGAGAAAGTCTCATTACCACGATTGATTCAATCGAAAAGGAAAACAAACAAATCATGATATATAAGTAACTAAAAAAAAGAAATAACATTTCAAACCAATCCTGTCAATAATGATAACACCATAATGGTGCAGATAATATATTTCGATATGAAAAATGAATCATGTTTTATTTTATGTGGCAAATGAATTCTCTGTAGATATGGTAAAAAACAAAAAAAAAAGCATTAATAACATTTCATTAATTGTGAACACGCACATTATCATGTTTCTAATATTTATATATGATCTATATATCTTAGGCATAATACTAATAAATATATATATATTTTGTGTTAATAATATTCATGGTGTTATTTCTTTGATGCTAATCAAATAAATCATTGAATAATTAATATAAGGCCTAGTTAGATGATTATAAATCAAGTCAAAAAAAAAGTTATATGTTTTAGATTAGTAAAGGATAAGAATGAAAAGAAAAATTGCTAATAAATATCGACATTAATTATAGTACTTGCAAAGAATAAACAAAATAAAAGAATTGTATAATCATTATTTAGGAAAAATGAATAGAAAGAAAGATAAAATTTATTATTGCGTGACGTTTTTCAAGATTTTTTTTTCTCAGAAGCAAAAAAATTGCTTTTCATAGAGTATTATAATAGAGATAGATGATGAGTTTAATCCATAATAATCTTTACTTACAATATACAGGAAGGATGTATTAAACTGATGAATAATATATACTTCTCTTCTTTTCTGCATGGATGGAATGACGCCTTCGTTGGTAAAATACGTATGAATAAATCTTTTTCTTTTTCTATGCCCTGCTGATATTAATATATAGTCATTAGATGCAAGGACAAATCTTGCTTTATAAGACAATTCAACTACTTTTTTAAATTAATGTTTCTTTTTGAAGATCTAATTACTAAATAAATTATGTCAAGTATTATCTGTCTATGTTGATCTTCATCTTAGAAGCATGTTACTCTTCCTACAAATTTTCTTCTAATAAACAACATAGCTTACTTACGTGTATCACTTTCTTATTACTACTATAAGAGTATTAACATATTATAGGAAAGCATCTATAATGAATTAATTTACTTCTATTTCACTATACACAAAGGAATATTAATATTCAACTTTTATTATTTCTCATTTATACTTAACAAAATTATTTAGGAACAGAGTTATGATTTTCTTTATAAAATCTTATAAAATTTTTATTCTATATATAGAAAAAGAACTACTGAATTGTTAGTGTTACTTATAAAATAGTAAAAGAAGAAAGAAGAAAATAATGTAATGAATCTCATTTCTCAAGAGGTTTTTCTTCGTAGAGTAATAATTGTATCTATATAAATTTCATTGATCAATTCATTGATTTAGAACTAAGAAGAAAAAACAATTTAACAAACTAGATTTGTGTTTTTGCTACTACTATTACGTACGACATCAATCAAATAAGATATTTTTAGCATTCAGTATGTTCATTTTCAACAAATAAAATATTTATTAACAATATGAGAACATCGTATTTAAAATTACAAGAAAAAAACTCTATAACGTACGTTTTTTTTTTCCACTATTTTTAACACATTATTTGATCTATCAAGTGTAGAAAAAAATTATATGTTTTAAATGTTTCTCCATCCAGTATTCTATCATTAAAGTACACTTAGATATTTTCTATGAAAACTAAACTTGTATTGAAATTAACTGAAAAATCTGATAAGTGGAATATTTTTTTTTTCTCGTGATGAATCATAGAAAATCAAGACAAATGTCTAGAAAAAAAAAACAGAAAAGGTAATGACATTTAACGACATGTTCCCATTTTATTTTGAATATAGTTATAGTTTCTATGTATGTATTAAATATTATTCTTTTCGAATACTTGACTCGAATATGCTTGATTTCCTATTATTCTTAAGTGTTCATTTCATATAAAAATCATGAAGTTTAGTGACGTTAATTTCAAAGAAAATTATTTCCTTTTAAATACCATAAAGATTCAATCAACTGTTTGACTAATTACAAAAAAAAAGTTAAACGAAATCATTTTAGCGTTTAAATTAAATGAACTCAGTTCAATGTAATGGAAATAGGAAAGATTAACACAAGAAAAAACTAAACACGAATTTATAAAACTAATATATATGATACGTCTATGGAAAGTTTATGGGTCATACATAAAGGGTGTGCAATAAGTTCTGGTTCCCTTCAAGTAATATTCTTTTCTTCCATGATTTTTTTTAGTAGAATAGACTGATATTTACAGTATATATACTAGATCTACTCTACACTAGAATTTCAGTCTTCTATCTATTGTAGTCATAGAAATATAAGTAACTTAAAATTCATAGGAATTTTTTTGATTTATTTTCTCATTATCTGATGCATTATATTAAAAAACAGATTATAGCATAAGATGCAGCATGAAAAGCTCTACAACCTTCATAGTAAAGTTTATTTTAATTGTGTACCTTTTGTTTCCAAAAAAAACTGTGTGACCACTTTTTTTGCGATGTCGAAGATTAGTCAACCCTTTTTGAAAATAATAGGTACCCAGTTAAGATAAGCTTTAGTATGTAGATAATAGAGCCTTTCATGCTACATCTTGTTGTATATCCTTCTTTTTAAAGAGAGCGTATGATGTGATAAAAAGATGAAATAAAGAAAAAAGAATTCGTTCATGTAGAAAAAAACAGTAACCTTCGTGCAACATCAAAAGTCGACCTTGTATAATTTTCCTTTTTTTGAAAACAAAAGATATATAATTAAAATAAACTTCACTATAGAGGTTGTAGAGCTTTTCATGCTGCATCTTATGCTATAATCTGTTTTTTAATATAACGTATTAAATGATGAGAAAATAAATCAAAAAAATTCCTATGAATTTTAAGTTATTTATATTTCTATGACTACAATAGATAGAAGACTGAAATTCTAGTGTAGAGTAGATCTAGTATATATACTGTAAATATCAGTCTATTCTACTAAAAAAAATCATGGAAGAAAAGAATATTACTTGAAGAGAATAATCAGAACTTATTACATATTATTTATAAATTAATTTAAATTGAAATGTGAAAAGTGATACATTTTTTAATTTTTTTGTAAGCAATAACGCTTTATTTCATAGGAAAAAATGATTTATCACTGCTATACAAAATACAGATTGAAGCATCTGTTCTTTGACATGATATATTTTTTAACATAGCAGTTGCTTCTAATCATTTTACAACAATAGAAAGAGCATGATTTATATAAAAAAACATTAATCAAACAAGAGAAAAAATAAGTATCAATATTACATCAAATATTCATTGTATTAATATTTTTACAGATATGTTTCATTATAAAATGTATGATTAAACATCAATGAAATATATATATTTTTTAAGTAGTACTATGCCAAGTTAATCTTGAAAGAGAGTAAGATCATCACTATAAATTGTCACCACAGTTCAATTGAAAGAAGAACGTAAATAGCTCTTGAGTAGTTGAAAGAGTTCACATGATCTTTTTTTCATTTGTTAAATAACTTTACTCTTCAAAATTTCATTGAACTTACTTTCGAATAAATGCTACCTATGCCTATGAACGTCATAATCATCATAAGTCTGGTAATGGCAAAATTCGAGTTTGTTCTGAGAGATCTAAAATAATCATTGAAGAAGAAATCGATGAAATTCATAATGTTTATCAATCTATTCCTGGATGAAATGGTCAATCTATTTTAAAAATATGTTCCATATTGCTAGCGGCGGTGCCAGGAATTTAGACTAGGGTGGGCTCAGGCCTACTAAATTTTAAACAGGATGGGCTCAGCATTATCGAATCTTTACACACTAAAAATGGTAGTCTAAGCTGTTTTCAACTCTTAGGTTCATCAAAGAATTTTCTTTTCTATGTTAAATAAACAATATACATGTATATATATAGAGAGAGAGAGCTTGATTATTTATTTTCAAAAGTTTTAGATAATCCTAACATAATAAAATTCTGCTGTTCTTATGATTTCGTGCGAATTTATCTACTATTTGTTCATAATCTATAAAAATGTCACGCTCAATAGCCAAGACTGTTAAGTCACTTAAGCGAGCATCAGACATAGAATTACGAAGATAGTTCTTTATTATTTTCATCTTTGAGAATGAGCGTTCGCATATCACTTGTGAAACCGGCATTGTCATAGCATTTTTGACCATTAGTATTGTTTGTGGAAATGCAGTAGAATATGGAATTAATTCTTTTAAGAATTGATGTTGCCCATTACAAAACATAACTAATAGAAAATAAGAAAAGATCTTAATGGTGAACTAGCCGTAGTATGTTGCGACATCGCTCAGATAAAATATTGTTTTTTCTAAGATCTGAAAAAAATTTCAGGGTGGGCTCAAACAATTCCAGGGTGGGCTCAGCCCACCCCAGGCCACCCTTGGCGCCGCCACTACATATTGCAGACAACGATTGCATCACATTATAACAGAACATTCTTTATTAATGTTATTTATATTGAAATATATTCAGTAACTCTATCAAAAAGAATAGTCTTACAATATAGATCGGGTTGAAGTGTGTAAAAGCTTTATTACAAATGTTGGCAGTTACGAGGATCAGAGAGAATTTTTTTTTTCTCTAATGAAACAACTTTTATTTTAATTGAATAGCCAACAAATCCCAACCTTAGAAGCAATGTCTACAAAATATTTGTTTTAGATGTTTTGAAAAAAAAAATGAATTTAGATAGAAGAATGCAATTATCATAGAGTGCATCTCATTCCTCTCTTAGAAATTGCTTGTTTTTCTCAGCAAAACTCGATTTTTTTCTTTTGAAAAAGGTCATCGGGTAAGGAAAAATAATGTCGACATTCTCGCAGCAAAAAAACAACTGTATGTACGCTACTCCACTTTTTTTACTTCATCAAATCGCTGTAGTTATCCATAGAAATGAATCAGAGGAGTGCTTAGAATTAAAAAAAACAATACATCAATAATTATGTACTATTTCACGGTCATAATATAAGTTTTGATTCAAACAATTTGAAACGATAATTAAAATCGTTTTTTTTTTCATCTTTATCTATGTATTAGATGAAAATTTGAACAATAAACAAAAAAAAAAAAGAAAGAATAGTTTTCATCATAGCAGTTGATATATCAATGAATTGTAATATGTAAAAGAACAAAAGATAGATTTTACTGCTTCTTTATTATCCCTTGAATATACTTGTGTAGCCGTTATGTTACTGACTTCTGTGTCATTATGTCTATGCATGACCTTTGTGTCTATTGCCAATTATCTTCCAACATATAAAAGAAACAAATCAATACCGAAAGATATCACAAAATAACTTTTTAAATAAGTCCTATTAGTAGATTTTATAAGGCTATTCTAGACAAAATACTTCATATTTTTTCTATGTGTTTTCGGTAATTCTCTTCCAGCAATCATTCTCGACTTGTTGGTAGCTACATATCAAACCGAAAGAGACTATTTTCATGCAAAATATACAAGAGACGGAGCACAAATAATATATTTAATGGTTACATTAAAAGATTTACATGGTTACAGTATACATATTCATTTTGAAAAATAGTAAGATAACAAATAACATGATAAATACTGCAATTCTTATTGCAGATGTAAGAGATATAGAATATAGGAAATATACGATTTAATAATGGTATAGGAAGTAATAAATGTATGGATTTCTAGGTCATGCTTGAGGAAGTGAATGTGTTCTCTTTGCCTACACCTCACAGTCTAATCAATTTGATTTGTAATGAATTGTTGATTCGAATGTCGACCGAAAGGATATCATATCATTCGTTGACAAAAGGATTTCGCCGTTTTTCAAGTATTTGCCCAAATCCAATGAAATTCTGGTTACTAAGACAACTAAATGAGATACATCTAGTACTAAATTAATGTGAAATTAGAAAATTTTTTATTTAATATTATTTCCAGAAAGATGATGGTGTTTTAGAGTTCATAGATTCATGTGAAAATTTAAGCAAAAAAAAGTACTTATCAGCACTGGATTTAAATAAATTAATATTCATTGTTGGTCAAATTCTATTGTCATCATTCTATGTCTATATATAGAGAACTCCTGGAATAGTATAATATCCAAAAGAGTTCGTTTAGTTCCCAACAACTATTTCAGTTAATAACTATATATTCGTATTCTTCTGCACAAGGAATCTTCGAAAAAGCATATTTCTCAATTGCGACTCGCAACTCTGTATCTATGAAGCTCGTGGTTAGACTACTTCATCAATCAAATTTCATGAATCTGCAATATGACATGGGCAAGATATGAACTTCTTGAAATCTGTACGCTTTTTCTAAATATTATGTAAAACAGGGATATTTTGAGAGACTCATATCTTACCCATGTCATATTGCAGATTCATGAAATTTGATTGATGAGATAGTCTAACTACGAGCTTCATGGATACAGAGTAACAAGTCGAAATTGAGAACTATGCTTGTTTTCGAAAATTTCTTTTGCAGAAAGATACGAGTATATAGTTATTAATTGAAATAATTATTGGGATCTAGTCGAAATCTTTTGGATATCATACTATTCTATGGGTCCTCTATATATATACATAGAACAATAGCAATATAATTTGATCAATAATGAATATTAATTCGTAAGTGGTACAAGATCTATTTACGACTCAATATCTGAACCGAGAGAGCAATGTCTAAACGTTGAACGTCTTGTTTCATGTTTAAAAACTATTAATTCACTTAAAATATTTTACTTTAATGTTATAATATTCTTGACTAGTAAGTTTCATGCTCAACACTTTCTTTACAAACTAATCTAAACTGACACTATACACAAATTTAGAATGAAATAAAAGGTACTCACAGTAACTATTTAATATAAAAAAAAAACTTTAGCTGAATGTGAACGGACCTTTTATCAAGATTATTATATATCGTCACGAAGTTAAACATTCAATGCCATTATTTGGAAAACAAATAAACGTTTACTTAAAAAAACATAAAGTAAATGGAAGAATTTCTCCATACAAATAAAAAAAGAAAGACTGATTAGAAATAAGAGAATAATTGACACTACTACAATTAGTTTATTGAGAAGTTTCGTTTTTCACTCACAATATCATCAATCATAAAGAACTAAATTCAGAAAAGCCATGTAAAATACTATAAGCGAAATAATGAAAAAGACATCGTATCTCAAACTTATCTAACAAGAAATTGGAGTCGTAAGAGAAATTCTTGAAAATACGACTCAAAAACACTTACATGTAACGGGATACACATCATCGTAAAATGTACTTTATGATACAGTCACTGATCTTTCTCAGTTCTTTGTAATGAAGGTTATTTCAAGCGCTTAAATACAAGAAAAATTAAGCATTTTTCAGCGATTTTCGTGATAAGTACTGGAAGGCGCTTATCAAACCCCTTTCTAAGCTATATTAAGCAGCTTAATCGATTGAAACCGCCTTCAGCAGCTTAAGACAGTAATATTTAAGCTCTTTAAAGTAAGTTATTGAAGTGTAAGTTCCTCTAAGCCGCCGCTTGGAAATATCTTACGAATGCCAAAAATTTTCACATAGGCATTAGCAATTGTCTAAGTTCGAAAAATAAAATCGGGACCAGTAACAATACAAAATTTTAAACGGCACCGAAAAAACAGTGATTTTGAAGGTATCTCATCGTAAAGTTTAAATATGAGAAACACCACAGCACTTCTCAGCGATTTTCAGTGTAAGCGCTGTAGAGTACACAAAAATAATAAAAGTCACAACATTTTTAAGCAAAATCAATGGTATGCATTTCACAGTGCTGGTAATACTATTTTCTAAGTTCTATTAAGCAGCTTTCAGCAGCTTGTAACGAGAAAATTTAAGCGCTTTATAGTAGCTTACTGAAGTGTGTTTTTCTAAGCCGCTTAAAAATAGCTTATACAGACCAAAATTTTCACATGAAGAAAGGTAAAAATTACATGATATGCAATTTGATACAGTGTCGAATGATCTATATTTCTATTCTTCTTTAAATACTTTTTGATACTTGTTGACGAACTTTAGATATACAAGAAAGGTGAAGATCTCTATCTTTTTCATCAACATCTTGTAATGTAGTCCTATCTTCATAATGAAATATAGCCACAAGACTAAACTTTCACAAAAACTGTGTCCTAATTCAGGATACTAATGCTATGAGTTTCAAGAGAAACAGTTTTATTTGAAGAGATATACATTTATGGCAAAATCAAAAGCGTACTGATGATTATTCACTATTGGCAGAGAAAATATACAACGGGCTATTTGATTCCAATCTGAATTGAGAGGAAAAAATAAACACTCGTTTTCACATAGATATGAGGATAATAGCAGCTCGTGAGTTTTTTAACAAGTTCTTGTTTGACTGTGATGCATGTTAATTATGGATATATGAGAAATTAATAAAGGAAAAACTTTTTCAAATGATCTGATAATTATTCGTTAATGAAAATTTCAATCTTTCGAATATAGAGTTAACTATATGAAATATTTCATCTATCTTGATTGAATAACATTTAACTTTATTTAATAACAAATGAGAAATTTATATATGGAAAAGTCTTTAGACATTATTCGTCGTGTCTTGATTTGAATTTTGATAATTTTCTTCACTGAATGTTAATGCTTGAAAGAGACGATGTTTTCTATAAATTATATAATAAATTCTTATAGATAAAAGACAAAAAAATTTTAAAATCGTACGATTTTTTATTTGAAACATTTGATTCTACAGAATTATTGGTCATTAATTCTTCGTCTTCTTTACTGTCATTATCCAATGTATTAAGTTTTTGTAAATCATTTAAGATCATATCAAATCTAAATTAGGATTTAATTAAGCAGAAGTTGTTTTTTTTTTGTGTTAAATTTCATACTGTGCTTGAACTGTTGCTATTGATTTTTCAAGTGATTGATCAATTTCTTTTAATTCTTTATCAATATTCATTAATTGTTCATCTTGAAAAAAAAATTGTAAAATAAGAATCATGTTTTTTTCTTTGAAAAACATGGAATATACTTGATGTACTCGGAATTATTTTTGAATCATCATTCTGTAAACTAACCTTTGAAAACATTCAAAACAAAAAAAAATTTTACATATAAAATCAATAAATAAATCTTTCATTCTTACATCATCAATTATTTCTAATGATGGACAATATTCTAATAATTTTTCAATAGAATTTTCTACTTGAGAAAGAAATGAATTGCCACTAATATTTAAAATAAAAAGTGAATTCATACGACGAATAACATTCTAATAGAAAAATAAATTATCTTTTTCTTTTGTATTATATATAAATAAAGCTGTTAGTACAATCGTTGCAGCATTAAAATATGAAATACGATATAACTATTGTTGTTAATCATCCTTTTATTTAAAACATCAGAAATACAATAAGGAAGTAGTTTATTTATTATAACGAGACGTTATTGATATGCTGTCTTTGGTTGTATATTAGTAACGTCTGTCACAGTCTGTAACACTGGGAGGAGGAAATTGTTGCTAAGGCATCTGTCAAGATCTGTGATCAACGAGAGATGTTGTTAGAGATGTCTGTGATAGTCTGTTGATCACGTCTGTCATGGTATTTCACGTCTCCATGGTAACGTGTGTCATAGTCAGTGACCAAGAAATCATAATAGGCATTTTTCCATAGATCAGATGGATATGTGTCTTTTAAACTTAGAAAGACCTTATTTCCTGCTAAATATTGCATTATCATCTCTTAAATATCAATATAATTTGTAAAAGTCAAATTTGAAAAAAGTCGTTTTTATTGATAAATCACTACAAGAGACTCTTATCCTGTGTATATGAGGAAAACGTTCATTATAAGACTAATAAATTTTACGTCATTCGATGCGGATTCCAAATATGAAATTAGTCTTTAATAAAAAAGTTTCTATGTCAGGAGAAATCAGTAGTATCTTGAAAATCTTTAGCTTAGATCAGGAACCGTCTCGTTGATTCACTCTAATGCTATATCGGTGTTATGGGTGGAGAGATATTCTGTGGAAGTTTCATCCGATTTGAACTTGTGGAAAATTGTACAAATTTATTAGACTAAACATATGTTTCCGTAAAATTATTCGATGTTAAAGAAGAATGACTTCTTTTTTGAACCCCAACCAGATAAAAACGAATGTTGTTTTTACGAATCGATCGAGTGAAAAATACAGTTTTAGATTATATGTCATTTCTTCGGGGATATTTTTTTTATTATTGTTTTTTGTTTAACCCTTTACGGCCGGCCACCAGAAGATGGCAAGCAAAAAATTCTTCTTCTATGTATCCTTTGTCTCTTAGATGTGGAGGTTACCAAATTCCATCTTGGGGCTTAAAGAACTGATACTGAGCCGAATGCCAACATGTTACCTTTTGGCAACATCCGGCCGTAAGGGTACAAAAAGTTGGAAAAAGTGAATTGTTTTTTCGCGATGAAAGTCCAATAATTTGCTGTTAGTTTCAATCCGGATTGTCAAACAAAAGCATACTTTGTTCATCTGCCAATCTCTTACGACCTGAATGTGAAATATATTTCCATAATACTTAAAAACTTTCCGAAATAGTGCAAATTTCACCTATTTTCCTTAGGGAAGCTAATGAATTTAGTAAGATTTTAACAAGATTAGTAATGTGTTATAGTAGTCTGAATAGAAATACTATGATGTGCTATAAATCGTGTCAGAATCTCGCTGAATTTATTAGCTCCTTTAGAAAAAATAGGTGAAATTTGCGCTATTTCGGAAAGTTTTGAGTATTATGGGAATATATTTCACATTAAGGCTGTAAGAGATTGGCTAATGAACAAAGTATGCTTTTGTTTGACAATCCGCATTAGAACTAACAGCAAATTATTGGACTTCCATTACGAAAAAATAATTCACTTTTTCCAACTTTTTATACCCTTACGGCCGGATGTTGCCAAAAGGCAACATTCTTGCACTCTGTTCTTCGAGTAAGCTGAACAATTCATCTTATTGGTATAATAGTTAATGGGTCTGGAGAGGAAAATTAACCACTAGTTACTTCTCGCATCAAATGCTCGGACAAATGGAAAACAGATCATTTCGATTCTGGAGCTGTTTTGGGTGTTGGCAGGAGAATTCATCCTTCTCGCCAGTAATAGCTTTCTCCTTTGATGAAAAGGCATAGAATTGCTCTAAAATACATGTAGTTAATTATCAAACCGCTTCAGGAACTATATCTCATCGCTTTGAGATAAATCCTAAGATGATATTGACAAAATGTTGCCATTTGGCAACATCCGGCCGTAACGGGTTAAAGTAGCAAAGGCTTCCTATTCCTTATTAGCGTCATTTTTCTGTAAGGTTTTCTCTGTATTTTTCGAGTAATGCTAATAACATGAACAAAAACTTTTATGCTATTAAACAATTCATAGGTCGGAGTATATGTTGTCCTATTTAAGCCATTATAAAGTACACTTTCAATTTCTCGTCTCATGTCTGTGTAGATGCCCACTGTGCATAGGGAGAGGTGCAAACTTCTATTCTATATTGTTTAACACTCCTTTTAGGTCGTATTTCACAAAAATCTTACAATATCATCCCAAGAATTAATACGATTATTCGATATATCAAGATATTGTAAATCAATAAGTTTATCAAATGTATTTGGTAATAAATTAATTTGATTATTATTTAAATCAAGTTCATTTAAATGTATAAGAGTCGATAATATTTGTATATCTTGAATATGATTATTAGCTAAACGAAGAATACGTAATGATGGTAAATTTTTTAATGATGTTATATTAATAAGTTCATTATTTGATAAATCAAGATCAATTAAATAACGAAGATTACGAAATTGATTTGGTAAAGTTTTTAAATAACAATGACATGCACGTAAATCTGTTATAGATGAAAGTGTATTAATAAACTAAAACAAAAAGCGAACAGATTAAAATTCATTTAAATATAAAATAAAAAAATTTTAATTTTGTTTTCTTTTTTTTTTACATCAAGATTTTCTATTGTACAATCGGATATATCAAGAGTTTTAAGTTGAGATAATTTTAATACTTCATCTGATCGAATTAGTGAGAGTTTATTAGAATCTATACGAAGTGATTGTAAACGAGTTAGATATATAAGACCAGAACCTAATAGAAAACAATAATCTGATTCATCAAATGCATCAGAATATAATTTACCAATTGATTGAATTTCATTATATTGTAATTGAAGAATTTGTAATTGATTTAAACTAAACAAAATAATATAAATCAATGATCTGTTATATTTTTTTAAAATAAAATGGAACAAATACTCTATAAGACTATCAATACTAGAGAAGGTAAGACGTATAGATGAATATTTACTCTACTAAACTTAAAGACATTATGCAGACTTTGAAGATGAATTATTTACTGGAATACTTTACGAACAAATCTATTCATGATCAGAAATTCGAAAAATATAATCGATTCATTGTAAAATGAACTATATCTATGGAGATTGTAGATGAACAGAAGACTTCCATCAGTGCCCTGTTCACAACTCCACACCCACATCCGCGAGCAAGTGTTCGACTCTCATTTGTAAATGCAAACGTATATAGTAGATACTCTTTTTAAACTCTAATAGAGTTTGTTACAAACTCTATTAAAGTCGATAAAAAAAATGGCGAAACAAAGATCTAGGGGCTGAGTTTTTCAGCCCATCTAAAGTAGCTTAACATAAATTTGATATATAAAAACTAGCTAAAAGAAAGTTCAGAGATATATATGCAGATTTATTTTGTGAAATCATGTTGCTAACAAATGAAATTGTTCATATATGGAATTCTAATGGAAATCATTTCATTCTCGTGTGCACTCATTGACTCAAATAATGAATTGAAGTTTTTTTTTATCTCGATATTTATTTTTAATAAAAATCAATAAAGTTTCTTTTCTTGATAAAAACTAGCAAGTTTTCGAAATATTTCTTTCAATTTATGAATTATTATATTAATAAAATATGTTAATCGAAAACAGATTCTATTGAATCAGAAAAGTTATTTTTTGTTGTTGTAAAACTTCAATATAATTAATAAAAGCTCGTAAAATGAATTTAATAATCAAAATAAACTGATGTACCATGTAAATATATCTATGCCAGGATATCTCATGATAGTAGAATTCTTCATACTGTCTATTATAATTTATGAAAAAGAAAAGATTCAATTTTATAACTACAGATTTCAAATAGATTAACAGTTGTAGTTTATAATAAGATACCATTCAAGATTTTCAATTCGTTCAATTTTATTTCCATATAATTTTAATTCACGTAAATTCTAAAAGAATAATAAAAGAAAAAAATATATGTATATCTTTTACAATGATTCATATGTAATTATTTTACCAATAGATTTCTTAAGTTTTCAATACGTGTTAAATTATTACATGAAAGATCTAACATTTGTAATTTACTAAACTAATAAAATAAAAAAAATACAATGTATTTTAGATTTTTACATAGAATTTATCTAATTACTTGAGATAAATTCGGTATTGTAACAAGTCCTCGTGCATGTAAACAAAGTTCATTGACCATTGCCGGATGAAGATTTTTAATGTCATCAAGCTATATAAACAATATTTCTCTAGAAAAAAAAAGAATGAAAAAGAAAACAGAGAAATTTACAAGTATTTCATTATTTAATTGTGAATTTTTGTTTGTTACAAGTGGTTGAAGACGTTCTTGTTTAGATTTTAATGATGTTGTACCAGTAAAACTACATGTTTTTGAACGAGATAACGTTGAAAGTTGTTTTGTTGATCCACAAGATTGTGTTTGTGTTGTTGGTGAAATACCTGATGAACATCGTTTATTATTAGATGACATTGAAATTTTATCTGAAAACAAAACATGATTCCGTATAATTTTCTTCTTCTTTTTTTTATTTTGAATACACGAAACAAAAACAAAAAAACATTTTATTCTGAATTTAAAAATTGAAATCATCATATTCTCGAACAAGTTTCAGTGTTACTTGAAGTAAACATTTATCTTTATCCCATTTTGCTTGAGAATTATCAGGATCAACAGGATGAGGTAATGATAATGCTAGACGACTAAAGAAAATATAATAATACAAATAACAATAAGAAAAAAGCATATGAAAGCTTTTACTATTTCGGACAGCGGCAATCAAGAAATGACTTTTTTATATCCAAAATAATATCACTTAATTTTGTATTTGGTAATTGAATATTAACCTAAAATATATTTTAAAATATAATATCATATAAAAAGAAATCTATAATGAAATTCAGTATTCATTGTAATTATAAATATTAACGGTATAAAAGCAATTATACGTGTACATGAATGAATTGTAACTCTAAGGTACGATTAAGATTTTAGTGATATTTGTCTAATGAATTTTTTTCTCGTTGATCTATTCCCACAATTTTTTTATATATGTTACTACTCAAATTCCAGCTCTCCAGCTTGTATTAGTGTGAACTTCTGAGCCTTACACTGTACAAAAACTTGTATGTTATAGAGAGATTTACTAAAAAGAAGAAATTTTCTTAGCATCAAAAAGAAAATACATTTAACGAATAGTTCAATCTGTACAGCCTAAGATGTACTATCAAATTGTGTATCTTTTATATTTCTCTCTCTTCCCATGCCTATTTGTTCCAAACACTTAATTACAGACATTTGTTCATTTTCTTTCATTTTTTCCTTGTCGCTTGAAGTTAAAGAAATAGAAAGGTATCTAGAAAATGAACACTTCTCCCGTTCATTTACCATGCGGTATGGAGTGCTGTCTAGTGAGATATTCAATAGTCCGATTTCTCCCCTACAACAAAACCTAGCTGTAACTCTGGACAGAAGACCAATTTGACATAGTGTTTTTAAGCTTCCCATACATACTAACTAACCACAAGACCAGCTGTATGTCACAACGTAGTTAGCATACTATCAGATAGGTGATCGGAGACAAACTTCTATGAAAGACTTGTCCAAAACCATTCGCGACCATGCAAAGATACTCAAAAGAAAGACTATTGAGCAGAAAACAATTTGTTAAAAAAATTTTCCTAAACGATTTTCCTTTTCTTTGAAAAAAACGCTCTTTCTAAAAAATGTGAGTTTCATTCTGTATGCTACTCTTATACTGAAGTAAGGCGTATCTCGGTTAATGTGCAGAAATGTGTGCATTTTTTTTGCATCATTGAACATGGAGAGAACAAATTTTATGAAAAGTGTATTTTTTTGCTATGATATGTCTCTGAAAGCACGAATCAATATTCATTCTTACATATTAATGATTTATTACCGTATGTCGAAATAAATCTCGACTTATGTGAGATTGTTCTGTTCGTAAACGAAATTCCCTTTGCAAGATTTATGCTTCACATTAGTTTTCCATTCTAATATATCTACAGATAAACAAATATCTTTATTACTATCGAGTTTTAATTATGTATTTAGAGAACCAAATGAAAGTTACACAATTTTCTGAGTTTCGGAACTCGATAGTACTAGCTAGGAAGTATCTGATAAAAACATTTGAGTAGCTAGAAGAATTTTCTATTTAGAATTGGTGTATCTGAATACTCCAATAAAACTGCTTGAATGAGGTAAATAAAACCAGTTTTCTCGCATCTATTTGGAGCTTTTTGGAAATGATTTTATTTGATAGAGCAAAATGAAATGTCTCGGCTCTCTTAATCAACCTGCATTCAATTTATAGAAGGCATCAAGCACGACAAAATCATTAAAATTTCTCATAAAAACAAAATACTTCTTGGATCTTCTATAAATTGAATACAATTCGATGAGGAGAGCCGAGACATCTCATTTTGCTCTAGCAAATAAAACTATTTCCAAAAAGCTCCAATTGGATATCAGAAAACTGGTTTCGAAGATCTCGGGTTTTCAAAACGTCCTCATTCAAGTAGTTTTATTGAAGTTTTTATGTCCGCCAATCCTAATAGAGAATCCTTTTAGCTACTCAAATATTTTTTCACATTCTTCCCAGCTATTAGTATCAAAAAGATACAACTACTCTAAATTTTTGTTCGTTACTATGTGTAAAACCTTTGAGTATCTGTGATTTTTTGTTAATCTTAATCATTTGAATTATATAATGTCATAATATAAAATAATCGAAATAACTCACCATAAGATCTTCACAACTAGCTGACGATGGATTTTTATTGCCCATTTGAAGAAAAACATCTTCTGTTGTGATTCGTTGTTTATAATGCATTTCATATCTTAACATTAAAAAAAAAGAAATTAATAAAAAGTAATAAATTTGTTTCTTTTTTACTCTGGTTGTGGTCGTTTGTCTACTTGATCTTGTATTTGTATATTATTATCAGGTACTTCATCAATTTGCCAAATATCTTTTGAATTAACAGTTGAAGGTTCTTGAATAGAAATAAAAACATTTTAAAGACTTTATTATATTTTAGAAAAATACTTTTCAAAGTTTCAGCATTCACATTTTCAATAGTTTTAGCAGTTTTTTGTGCTTGTGAAATAAAACTTGCCGGAGTAAAATGAGCTGTTGCATTTTTCTTTGGCTAAAATATTTAATAATTAACATTATAGAAGAAAGAAATATTTATTTGTAAGTACTTGATCATCATCACTATCAGAATCATCTCGATTTGGATCAGATTGTTTAAGTAAATTAGCTAATTGATTTATTTCAAATCCATACATTATTATCAAAATATAAAAGAAAATTACTAATGAATAAATCTCCATTTTTCAAAACATTTATTCATCGGTTGTCATAGTTACATATAGATGTCACTATTTCATAGAATAGTTTTTTAAATATAAGAAAAAAATATATATAGATATTCTACAATATCTTTGTTCAATATTCATAAGAACATTTTTTTTTCTTTTAAAATCTTTTAATTTTTCAGAAAAAAAATTAAGAAAACAATAATACAGAAAAAAATAAATAAACATTATTAAAAAACCAAACAGAATTGTATTCTTCACTCATACAAAACATTCAATTATTTGAAATAACTTTAGAAAAAAAACAATCATGGCTACATTTTCATCAGTATCATCAACAAAACCTGATGTATGTTCATAATATTCTAATAAATTTCTTATTGAAAACAAAAAAGAAAGTATTCTTATAGGATTCTTCACTAGATAATAATCAAAATGTTGATAATGTTCATTCAACTTTACCTGCTTCAAATCTCAATTCATCTGAACGTATTGTTACACCTATGCAACCAATTGTACAGCCTAGAACAGCAACTCAACAACAACCTACAGGTGGTTTTAGTTCAAGATCAATTTCGGCTAATCCAACATTTACAGCATTAAAAGGAACTACTATACAACTTGCTCTTGGTCATCCACTTGCTTATGTACGAGTATTAATGCAAGTAAGATATTTCAAATAAATGATTATTATTATATTTTTTTTCTAATAAATAATTAAAATTCTTCTTAGATGGGTTATGAACCATTACCAGCATATCGAGGAAAAACTTTATTTGGCAAAGAAGCTGTTTTTTATCCGAATGTGTTTCGTTATCGTTAGTTTGATTAATTTTTTTGTTTTTGTTTTGTTCAATTGATAAACATATTTTTGTTTTTAATTTAGTTAAATATGTTTATAATGCTGATGGTTTTGTTGGTTTATATCGTGGTTTTGGTTGTTCGCTTTTATCTAAAGTTGTTTGCTGGTATACAACAACTAAAATTGATGAAGTAAATTATATTAAAAAAAAACAAAAAATTTAATAATAAAATTTTATTTATGTTTTATTTAATTAGGTTCTTGGTCCTGTTGAATCTCGAGTACCGAATGATCAAGCAAATTCACCATGGAATAAATGTGTTCAAAAAGTATGTTTAAAATATAAAATAATTCTTAATTTATATATTTATTTATAAAGACTTTACGTGAAGTACAAACACAATCATGGGGAATTTTTATATCACATCCTTTTCAAGGTAAGATTTAATTTAATTTTAAAGTAAAAAAAGAAAAGATGAAAATATTTGATTGATAATTAGTTATGGCTATTCGATGTATGGGTCAATTTATTGGTCGTGAAAAAGCATATTCATCAATAAATATATTTCAAAATTTTAAAGAAATTTATGATCGTCAAGGAATTGGTGGATTTTTTGTGTATGTAAATTTAATATTTTTACTTTTCATTTTCAGTTTTTTTTTTTCTATTTATAATAGTGGACTTATTCCTCGATGGTTACTTGAAATTTCAACTATTATTATAACAAATGTTCTTATTCATATACTCAGAACACATTTACTACCACAAAATGAAATGATATCTTTATACGAATATATTGCTACTGTAAGTTTATTTCAAAAACAAAAAAAAAAAACAAACAATAATTAATATAAGTTTAGAAAAATTAGAAATTGATCATAATGAATTTTTGCGAGTGAAATTCGAATGTATCTTTATCGAGATATTTAATTTCCAAAAAAAAACAAACAAAATAGTCATTTATCGTAGAAGGACATAAGAATCTATTCTACTTGAAAATAAAATCAGAACTCTCCAATGATTATTTAATCTTTCTATAGGCAAAATTTCATAACTCTTCACTAGTAAATCATAGATTCAAATATTTTTAGACTTTTTCTTATCTCAATATACTCTATTGAACGATGTATGAATGAATCAAAACGAGAGTAGTGGACACCTCAAGCACTTTTCTCGTTAGATTTATTTAATATGAATGAATGATCAATGGTCTATTATTGTCTTTGAAGTATAGTAAAAAAAGAAAACAAAGATAAGAGGCATATTCAAGGTATTGATCGAAGGACGTTTGTTTTGAAATAATGAAATTTTTTTTAAAGAAAACTTCAAAATTTCGAACGTAGTTAGTTTTCATTTTATCTTTTGAACATAAGTAAATTTCATTTAGTTTCGAATTATGATCATCTTAATGAATATTTCAAAAAAAAAATCGAATAATATTTTTTGGTCTAATATTTTGCTCATAGATAGATCTTAATCAGTATGATGTTCTAAAAGTTTCAACTGAAACTAATGATTCTATAGTCAGATACGAACTTTTCAAAATAATTGAAATTTTTCAAAGTATTGATAAAATTATACTGCTTCCGTTTTAAATTTAATTATCTTGTCATGAAACTTTTATAATATCTTTAATGACTCTAAGACCTATCTATGAGTAAGATATCGGACTAAAAAATTTTATTCGAGTTCTTTCAAAATCTCAAAATGAAACGTCTAAAAGAGTGAAAATTCTTTTCTGATTTGTCATATTTCATCAGAATTTACTTGATACTCAAAAATGATAAAAGAGAAAATGACTTGATCATCGAAGCTAATTGTCTGTCTAATAAACATATTCATTATACATAGAAATAAAATACATTGATTTACTTTTTTTTTTGTTCTCGAGCATAAACTTGACTTTTTTTTGTTTTGGACAAAAAGACGACCGTCCATTGTCATAGCAACGATCTATAAATTAGTGGTATTATCTTTTTTCGACACATAAAAAAAACCAATACAAAATACCATTTTAACATTGAATTTTTAATATCATTCGACCAAAGAATCAATTCAAAGTTTGTTTAGTAAGAATGTTGAATAGCTATTTACTTCGAAATATTTGTTCAACCTTACACAAGCATTTGTACATAGTACAATCAGAATCATAACTATGGTTATGTAACACAATCACGCGATTTTCTTTTCATCCCTCTTTTTCTTTTTTTTCGTGTCGTTTGAGTCTAACAATGAAGCCTAATACAAAATGAGTCACGATATTCTTGTTATTTGTTTACATAGCTTTGATTTTGAAACTTGATAACTCAATAAAATTAATTGATAAATTTTATCTTTAAAAAAAATAAAAAAATTAATTTCTTTTAGTTCATAGCTCAAACAATGACTTATCCATTGAGTGTCGTGACAACTGTAACAGCAATTAATCGAAGTGGACTTCGTGCTGGAATGTTACCAATGACACCAGTCTTTGCTAATTGGCATGATGCATACAGTTATTTGAAAAATACGGTAAGTTTTCTTTTTTCTTTAGAATTACAATATCCTTTTTTTTTTTTTTTACTTTTAGGAACAATTGAAACGTGGTTCTAGTTTATTTAATCGTGCTGTCCTTGGCACGAATGGCCTTCCAACACCTGGTACACCCATACCGAATGCTTAAAACCTATATTCGTCTTTTTCTTTCTCTCTTTTTTTTTTTTTTTATAAAACTAAATATTCGAACATGTATTGTTGCCTAGGTAATAGAAGCATATTCTCCTATTTCTCTCTCTCTCGCTTTTCTCTGTCTTGTCATAATTTATTGTCGTCTTTTTTTTTTCGTTTACAATTATCCTCCTTTCTTTAGAAAGTAAAAAAAAAATGAATTCAAGATCAAATAAATAGAAACCATGAACCTTGTAGAGAATTGACATGAAAGCAAAAAAAACAAAGACTATCAACTGATATCAAGGTCAAACAATATCGTTACAGAAACAAAAGAAATAATGCATTCAAGATGACCGATCGGTCGATGTTTTTTTTTTTCTCTTGTTTTTCATTTGTTTTGTGCATATATTCACAGGAGAATATAACCTTACCATAACATATTAAACAAAATATTCACACATTTCTAAATTGGCACCATCCCAAGGAAATCAAACCACAGTCTATTTGTGGTATGTAAGAAAATTAAGTAAAATATTTGATATAGTTGCTTGTATTTATTTTCACTTTGAATCACATCGAGGCTTGTTCTGTACATAAAACAAAATAATGAATGTATGGCGTGATGCTTTCATACTTTTCCTCCTACATACATATATATATATACACTACTTTTTCGGTTTTTTCTTTCTTTTTTTTCATACAGTCATTCTAGGGATACTGTACCTATTATTATTATTATTATTATTTTGATATTTTTGTTTGGTTCAAATTTAGTATTGAAACGTTTTCTTTAATAATTAAATTATACAAATTGTTCAAGACAAATAGGTAACAAGTGTAAATTATTTCTTTCTTCATGGTTAGATTTTTTTGATACGTTTTGAAAAGTTACGGTTGTCATTTACTGACGAGAAAACGAAGGGTTCATGCCCATGGACCTTTGGATCCGACTAATGACCTCTTTATCAAATTTTCGATCTAGCTTTTGATACTGATTGAAAAATCAAACAACGAACTTTCAATATGAACTTTCGCCTAAAATCAAATCGAATGACTAGTGAAATATCTTGAAAGTTTCAGTTAAAAAAGAATGTTCCTCTGTCGAGATATTGAATTTTCAAGTAAACTCGATTTTTGTGGTCAACGACAGTTTTTTTTTCGAAATTCAATATCTCGCCAAAGGAATATGCCTTTTTTGACTGAAACTTTCAAGATATTCTACTAGTCATTCGATCTAATTTTAGACGAAAGTTCAGGTCGAAATATCATTATTTGATTTCTTGGTAAACATTTAAAGTTGGATTGAAAATTCAGTAAAACGATCATAATTCGACTTTAGAGATCTATGAACACTAAACCATTTAGGATTTTTCTAGTCTTATCGAGACTTTCTTGTGAACTCAATATGAGTTCAAACGACGGATATCAGTTTGGAGTAGTTCTCTCATGAGTTATTATGTATAACATAATCACTTCTCTCACTAGATAATTCATGAGTGTCAATATGTTATGTCAGTCACTTAAAGATAATAGGCTCAAGCAAAAATAAATAACTGTCGCATATTACAAGACCTTTTACAATCGATTTCGTTAGTAAAAAGAAGAGAGTAACAGAAAAAAAAACAAACGTTCATCATTTTTGTTCTTATCTCTCATCTTCTATTTTATTTAAAGACACATATCCACGTACTTTTATTATCACGACATACAACATTCTAAATACCTGTGTTTTAAAAATATGTATACGTGATAGAATGTTGAATCTTTCATTTTTTTTTTCTCCCAATACATTTCATCACATATACGAAAGACATATAAATAAGAAAAAAAAATTCATATTGAAATACATTTTTATTGTGATTCGTATTGTTTTACTTATATCTTCGTTTATTTGTTTTTTTTTTTTTTTTTATTGAAATAATAGGTTAGAAGAAAAAAACAATAGAATAATTTATCATAATGGCTACACTTAATAATTCTTCAATGAAACAAACAAATCGAATTAAAACACGTATGAATTCAATTCGACAAATGTCGAATTCAAAATGGAAACAATTTTCACATATTTATTCAAAATTTTTAATACGTTTTTCATGGTCAATATTTTCTATTAGTTTATTGATTACTGTTGGACTTTTAGTATGTTTTTTTTTACTTATGGAAATACGTGCATTTGATCAAAATGATTTTATTATGCAAAATGGTTTAACAATGAAAAATGCTATTCGTTTAAGAAAAATTTTTGGAAATGATACTGAATTACGTATACATCAACAATTAAATCTTTATCCAGCTTTAGATATTATTATAAAAAGAAAATTAGGTGATAATGCAACAAGTGATAATGCAACAAGTGATAATTTAACAAATATGCTCAATAAAACAATTATAGAAGAGGTATTTTAAAAAAAAGAAAAGAAAATTTTTTTTTAATTTTTTTTTATTCAATAGTTGAAAATAGATGAATGTACTCTGAAGAGAGATCATATAGGAAACGTTTTAGAAGATAAAATTTGTTTTTTATTTTCGAATTATATAGATCTTAATTAAAACAAAATTCTATTGTTTATATTCTTATTATATTAATAGAAGAGAATAAAAGAAAAGATAAAAGACTTTTTATGCAATCACATTTGATATATTATCAGCTAACATCAATTACAATGAAAGTGTTTTATAACTATTCAAACTTAACGAAATATTATCAAAATTTAAGTATATGCTAAATACATACATTTAAATTGTATACAAACAATATTTGTATAATAGAAAATATTGTCAATATCTCATGAAGGAATTTATCCGACTGACATCTTACATTTGAACTCATATTTTTGCTCATAGATAGAACTCAATGTGCAAATAAGAACCGTAGAAAGTTTTGTGTCATCAGGCCTTTCTTTTCGAGTTATACTTGTCTTTACTGAATGTTCAGTCTATTGCTGGATATTATACGAATGTGTACTTCCAGTAAACTGTTCACGGAAAACTCACAGTGACGTTCAGTGATTTACTTGACATATTTATACTGTATGAGTGTGTCAATACTTCAATAAACACCAATCCAGTGTGGTCAGTGTAATAGTAGACACACTGTCGGTATTTCAGTGTTTTCACCGAAACAGGAAATTTCCGCTTGAAGTTTATCGAAATCATAGCTTTTATGATTCGTATGATATCATAAAAGTTTCGACTCAAACAGACGTTTCTCTTTCGAGATAACACACTTTTCACAAAAGCTACAAACATATAGCCTATATTTTTAGGCATTCGATATCACAAAAAGAAATCATTCGTTTGAGCTAAAACTTTCAGAATATTATTGTGAAAGATTTTAGGTGGAATTTCTTTCTTATGTTTTTTTTTGTAATACCCTGCAATAGGCTGAAAATTCAGCAAATTGAACATAATTCACAAAGAGAATTCTAAGTGCACGAATTCTTTTAGGGTTTTTATCTGCATTGTGAGTCCTGTCTACGAAAAAAAAAAATGAGATCAAACAGAGTATACCAGCCAAATGGGCTTCCTGATTAGATAAAAAAAGAATTTTTATTAAGTAAAAACTATAGTTCTACAATTGTATCTAAAATCAAAAGATTTTGTTAATTATCTACATAAAAAATAAAATATTTAGATGCTCAACTTGGATAAACAAATTCAATCTATTCAAGTAAATGATAAAAATAAATCTGTGAAATATAATTATTCATCATTATGTACAAAAATAAATCATGCTTGTATTATTGATGGAAATTATATTTTAAGTGATAAATTTCGTCGAGATATGTCTAATTTAATTCCTCCTAAAAATGGATATTATGTTGATGCATTAGGTGCTAATGGTATACCAGAATTTATGTTTGGTAAAAATTATTATTTAACAGATGCTTTACCAATTGTTCCTGATTATCAAGAAGACGAAGAAGAAGAAGAAGAAAAACAAGAACAAGATCATGGTTCAAACAAAATAATATCTTATATACCACTTTTTCGTCTTCGATATTCATTAAATACATCATCATTAGAAATGCGTCAATTAGCAATTGATTGGGAACGTGAAGTATTTCGATATATTAAAGAAGAATTTAAATCAGAATTAATTGAATTATCTCCATTAACATCAACAGCTATATCTGATGTTATTACAAAAACAGCACATGACGAAGGATTATATATGATGATAATGTTTTTAATATTCTTTATTCTTCTTGGTATTTTTATAAGTATTCAAGGCAATTTTCACACATCTGTTGGTTATTTACCACTTTGTGGAATACTTAGTATTGGTCTTTCAACTGGTGCTACATTTGGTTTAATATCTATTTTTCATATTAGAATTATTGAACCAATGGCACTTCTAGTTTTTATTGTTACTAGTAAGTTAAAAAGTCTTTTCTATGAAAATATTCGATAAATTAGATAATAATTGATAGTAACTTTTTGAGAGATTGATTATCATTTACTACTACAAATTTTAATTCCCTGAAAAATTAATCCATAAATTATATATATATTTGTGAATAATTAAATAATTAAGAATCATTTCAAGATGATTGGCATAGGAAGTCCTGCAACTGTTTAATTGCTTTTAAGTCGAGATAGTGTGCATTACGTAGACTCAGATGACCTATGAATATTCTGAAAAGAATTCATATTCTTAGCTTATTGCTACGGATATACTGCACATTTATGATGTTTTTTAAATGAATGCTATGGTCTTCTTCCTCAGGAACATCAGAATAACTCATTTTCGAATTTCAACTTGAATCTTTGCATAGAGACAGACGTTAATGAGAATAGATTTCTTTTTGTGAATGTTGCTGTTCCAATCCTAAGATACAACTATGGTAGTAACCTGTCTTTTACATCACACATATAAACCAACAGATTTGATTTTCTTATTTCAGGATAGATTCAAATCAAACGACCTAAAAATTTCATAATAAATTACTCTTGTTAAAGCCTGTCTCTATGCAAAGTTTCAAATTGAAATTCGATGTTTAAATATCATAAATAACATCGTATCGATGCATGTTAGTTCTTTCTCTGAGCTAATAATATACTTTAAAATGGTTGATAATTGAATAAAACACGTCTACAGTATGGTATTAGTAATAGAACAGTTTTAGATTATGATATATCTTGTATTTAAAAAAATCCCATATTTGGTAACTAGAATCGAAAATCAACGGAGGTGTTACTCAGCGCTGGAGATAGGGGAGGCGCAGAGTGGTTGAGTGTCAAAGGAAAGGAGTACTGCTTGTACAATTTTCAAAAGCAAGAGAGCATCACAGTTCATCACCCAGAAGCGACCCTTCTAAAAATCAATTAAACTTTTTTTTATTCAATTTTAGTTATTGAATGTATGCGTTTTTCAATTGTATGTGGTGAATATCATCGAATAATTACAGAACATTTAATTGCAGTAACCGATACATCATCTGAAATAAATATTGAAAAAATTCTTCCATCAATTATTGAATCAACTCATCCATATTTTATAGTATCAACATTAATTATATCTATTGTTTATTCCTTATTTTCAATATGTTCACCATTGTCATCAACAATGCCAATTTGTTTAACATTAGTATTATATATATTTCTTAATTATATTGTACATTCAACATTTTTTTCATCATGTCTTGTTATAACAATAAAACGTGTATCATCACGTCGTCATGGTTTATTTTGTTATCGTTTATCAAAAGATTATTATACAAAAACAAATAGAGAATTTAATAAATTAAAATTATTAAAAACTAAAATTCGTTCATTATTAAATATTGATTCAATTTGGAAGAAACTTTTTACTTCAATTTTATCTTTATTATTCATTGTATTTATAACATTAAGTATGTGGTTTGGACTATCAATTGATACATGTTTATATGATAATAAATTTCTTCCACATAATGCTTATTCATTACGATCACATATGCAATCACAAGCAGATGATTTTGATATGGGTCCTATGATTATGTTTACAATACCGGAAGAAACTAATTATGAAAATGAACAAGTTCAATTAGCAATGCGTTTTTTACTTAAACAATGTGTCAATGAAACAAGAACAAATACATTTAAATTATTATGGTTAGACCATGAAAATATTAATTCTATAATAACGGGACATGATCCATTAGAATTTCGTATAACACCATTTTCACGTAATGATTTAATTGTATCCGAAGGACAGGATTATTCAAAAATCGTAGCATCAAGATTTTATTGTCAATATAAATCTGTTAAAGGTAATAAGAATTATTTATAAAAGAGATATTCGTATTTATTCTTCTAGAAAGATCGAAATTAATATCCTAGGATAAAAAAACTATAGATTAAGAAATGTCCGATTAGAATTGCTAATATCTATAAAGCTAAGACAAATTTGTTATTAAATGATTTTACGTGTGTGTTCATAAAAGAACTTTTCAGAAACGATAAATTGCTTTCGAATAGAACCAATAAATTAATAGACTGACTACATAGGTCTCGATATGGAAGGAGTAGAGGTAAATTTTTCAGTTACTTTCTGTCAGTTAGACAGATTGGCTCCGACTGTCTATCAAATTTTTAGCTTTTCCGACGTATAAAAAACTATCTAAAAATGAAATAGTCATTCAATCCGAAACTTCTACATTCTAATACACAGCTTAATGGTGTAACCAGAAAAATGTTATGGGAGAGTTCAGTCCTCTGATCATGTCTAAAGAGACGATGGAGATTCTCTGGTTACACTTCTAGAGGGAGTGCAAGCGCATTTTTCTAGCGAAACTCCACATTTGTAAGGTTGACTGAGTTCCTTCTAGCTACTGCCGGATTGTTATAAGTAAAACTTGACTCTTATTAAAACAATCAAGCAGAGATTTAATAAATAATATATTTACCTTAGGAAATCTGAAAGAATGGATACAATTTATTCTGTGAAGCATGACCTAAAAGGAATGTTGAAGTGTAAGAGTAAAAATTTGCACTCCTCATAGACCGTGACAAACATTGGTGTATGATCACAGACCGTATATCAATAACGTCTCGTTATAACATGTGAACTATTTTCTTATCACATTTCTAAAGGATTAAACAAAAATATAGTGAAGAAGGGTGTTCCAAACTAGATTGAAAAAAAAACAATGTCCGTGTGGTTAACCAGAACAACTATATTGTATTTCACATTTTAATCACACAGAGATTGCGCTAATAGCTTTTATTTAATGACTCACTGGATCTACCCATTTACTGTAGTCTCACAAGAAAATTTCTTCAACTAATAAATCACTTTCGAGTCAAGACTATCCGTATTATGTAGACTCAAATGAGCTATAAATCTTCTGAAAAGAGTTTGTGTTCTTAGATTATTGCTACGAACATTTTGCATTTTTATGGTATTTTTTAAAATCTCCCTTCATAGCTCATTTGAGTCTACATAATTCACATAGTCTCGACTCAAAAAGCGATTGAACAATTGAAAGAGTTCGCTCGTTAGTTCAAAAAAATATTGACTGATACACAAGATTTATTAATCAATTCGAAAATCTTCTAGTTTTGATACATGTTTCTTGTATTGCACAGCTGTTTGACTTTCAACTAATTATTATAAATACTTATAGGCTTCTCGGATAAACTTAAAATATCGAGTGAACACCATCCAGAAATCATTGAATAGGATTTATATGAAAATATCTTGAAATTTTGTTTTTATTGAGTCAAATATGAAATAATAAAATATATTTGATTTTTTTTTTCTTCGATTCTTTCAGGTGATCGTGAAGATATTCGAACAATGAATCAAATGTACACTTATGCAAATCAAAATCCAATACGATCTATATTTCCTTATAGTTTAGTTTTTCCAAATTATGAATCATTAGGTCAATTACGTATTGAAATGTGTTTATTAATATTTGCATTAATAATATGTAGTTTTATTACTACATTTATATTATTTATTTCATTAAAAAATAGTCTTTTAATTATTTCTCATTTACTTGCTCTATTAGCAGGTAGTTTAACTTGTTTATATTTATTTCATAATTTAACATTTAATTTTGTTAATGCATCTTGGTTATATGTTGTACCAATTTTATTTATTGATACATTAATTCATGTATGTTATAATCAACAAAATAGCAAATGGAAATATAATCGTGTAATTATTTCATTAATAATTTCTACACTTATTTTATATTTATTTCCTATTCAAACATATATATTTAAAATAATAATTAGTTCAATTATTTATCAATCAATCATATGTTTTATATTGATTAATTTAATACTTCCATCATGGTTTTATTTATTTCAATCAAATAATGATAATAATAATAATAAGGATAATAATATTAATAATGATCAAATTGATACTGTCACGAATCCTGCAATGACAATTATTGTTGGAAGTCAATCATTACCAAATGGAGTCGAAATGAACAATCCCGTTAATGAATCAAATGGAAACATAAATCATCCGATTTAAAACAAAACTTTTTATTGTTTTTTTTCTATGATTTTGGTTTTTTTTTAAATAGTTTTATATACATGATTTTGTTTGTTTAGTTTTTAGCATTTCTTTTTCTTGCCTATTAGTTTAATTCCACATAGAGTTATGAGATGCGTCCAGGTTTTATTTATCTCGTCTTTTTTTCTGATGTGATGCTTCGTATATATACATATTATATGTTTGTTTTTCTGTGTCTCTTGTTTGTGGTTTTTGTGTTTGTACGTGTTGCTATATTATTCTTTTGTATTAGGTTCTTATAAAAAAGCATTTTATCGTTTATTGTGAAAAGTAAAATGTGTTGTAATGATGTTGAAAATAATATTTGTATTATTGAAATTCCTGCAAGTAAAAAATAAATATTAAGAATCATCAATAAAATATATATATACAGAGGTATCTGTAAAAGACGTGAACATATACAAACTGGGAGCTGATACCATCAGTAGATCGAGCTTGTCAAGGTGATTCTACCTACATCCATATCTTTGATCAGTGCATAGATCGACTCAACTTAAGCACATATCCAATAAAGTAGGCTTTTATATGCTAGCCTTAGATAAGTAGAAGGAGACGTATTTCCCTAATTTTCAGCCTTATAATTGAATTTTGCATATAGCTCTTGTAACTGTATTTAATTGATATCGATTATCTATTATTGTATTGGATAGTACAGAGACGATTTATTGAATACATTATCCTTCTTCAGATTGGTAGGTAAAAGAGCTGATGATTCTCAACAGTCAGATGTAGTGTGTCTAGAACAGCCATTGACTATTTCGATCAGTCGAAATGCAACACAAACAAGTGTTATTATGTCTAATTCTACTAGGGACCACTTTGGGACATCTTGAGTGAGAGTTTGATATGACAGAACTCATGTTTCTGTAGGAGACGACTTTTATCAGTTATCAACCTCTCTGCTTTCTTCATTTTGTTGTATTTAGTGTCCATGCTACATATATGTATATGTGTACCAAAACGTTTTCGAGAACAATTAATATTACTTAAACATCTATTAAAATAAATAAAATTTAATTGTTTAAACGCAAAAAGTTTATGTTATGTAGTAGGTTCACTTTTCGTGTATCGATTTACAAAAAAAAAACATGCTAACGATTAATCTTGTAATATAATGTTTCGTTTGAGTAGTACCAAAAGAGATCATTAGTATATGAAAAATTTATACTCAAAATAAAATTGATTGTTTCTATTTTTTAAAACAATATAATAAATTTCTTGTTCTAAAAATCTGTTTGACAGAAAACTTTTATGACGATTCTTGAGACTTTCAAAAAGTTATATATTAAATTTAGTTTTAGATGTCAATTATGAGCTAACATACTTTTTTTTTATCAATAATTTTCCATATAACTGTCATGCATATACAAAATAGAGACAAAGTATTAAAAACTATACTGACATGAGAATGAATAGTTTGTATTAGAAATCTAATGCTCATAGATATTATTCGAGCAAAATATGAAGTTAAGACATATTTACGAAGGTACCATTCTAAGTGATTAATAATTTTTGAGTTCAGACTTTTTTTTTACAAAAGGCAGACTCCAATGAGGTATACGAAACTTTAAAAAAAGACAAGTATCTTAACGCTTTCTTTTCAAAGTATAGTCAAGGTATTGCAATTCCAGTCAATGACACGATATGTACCAAGTAATCAAATGACGATATTTGGACCGCAAAATTTTATTCACCTGAATGTCTAATTGTTTCTAGAATATCTTGCAGATTTTAGCTCATAAGAGCAGTCCATTGACAAGATATTGAGTTTTCAAAAGAAAAAAATCATATCTGACAACAGATGCGAATTAATGTAGAAATTTTTCTCGATTTGGAAAAAATACAACTATGTCTCTTTCTCGATTTTTATAGTAACTAGTTATCTTTCTCAGTCTAAAAACATTTCGAGAAAATTCATATGCATTTTATTTAATTGATATGTCATATGTTAATATGAATCAATTATTAATCTATTTCTTCAAAGCATGATAAAAAGATTTGATATCGTTTGAACATAAATATTGACATGGTATTATAAAAATAAAACAAAATAAATAATTATTGTTTTCTATTACACTATATTTTATGTAGAATTGTTCAGTATAGCTTTTAAAAAAATCACGTTAGTTGATTGAAGAAAACTTGTCCTTAAATATTCATGTTTATATTTTTATTAGTACAAGAGAAAATATTATTTAATAATACTTCATTTGAAAGATTGCCACGAGTACTCGAAGCTCATATAAAAAATATTTGGTTAGAGATTATTTACTGTCTGCATATAAATTAATTTTGTGATGCTTTAAGACTTATGAAACACCTTGTGGACTTCTATTAAAACATGATTGAAAATTTCAACCAATATTACAAATAATTATAGGTAGAAATAGCTATGTCATTCGTGTATAAAATTAATTTACAATATATCATGACTTGTAATATAATAATTTAATTGTACTATTAGTTTGATTAAACTATGCAAAAGTGCAATGAGTTTTATAATTGTTGTTGTAGATGATTTTTTCATGTTTCTAATTACATGATAATGTACATGACTAAGTAGAGCTTTTTTCTCTCAATGATTACATAAAATAAAATGAAGCATATAATATCGAATATTAGAGGAAACTAGTCATTCATGCTTATTAGTGACAGATAATTGCATATTTTTAGTAAGATAAACTTTTAGTTCATATATACGAAGAGAAATAGCTAGTTTGTTGATAGGAGAGAATAACTTTTTTAAAGTTTCATATTGTAAGTAGAAATACTAATGCCGTCGATTGAACTTCTAAATATTATTTCACAATATATCTCTATTTATTTTGGCTTGCTTATTTTTATTGGTGGTTTAATTGGAAATTTACTTAATGTTCTTATTTTTCTTAGTCTTCAAACTTTTCGAGAAAGTTCATGTGCATTCTATTTAGCAGCTATGTCATTACTCAATATAGGTCAATTATTAACAGGTGTACTTCCACGTATCATGAATGTTTGGTTTGCTCTTGATTGGCCTGATGCTTCATTAATCTATTGTAAATTTCGAGCATATTGTTTTCAACTATGTTCATTAGCTTCTTTTACATGTATGTGTATAGCAACAATCGATCAATTCTGGGCAACATGTTCAAATCCTCGTTGGCAACGATATTGTAATATTAAATTTGCTTATCGATTTTTTCTAATAACTTCTTTTATTTGGATTCTTCATGGAATTCCAACATTAATTTATCAAACTCATACTAAATCCGTGGTAAATGGCACAACACGTTGTGAAATTATCGATAGTACATTTGACAAGTATTATAACTATGGATTCGTTCTTGTTTTAACTAGTAGTCTACCTGTCTTTTTGACAGCTTTATTTGGTTCACTAGCTTATCGTAATGTAAGATTATTAGCTTATCGTGCAGTGCCTCTCGTTCGACGTGAATTAGAGAAACAATTAACAGTTATGGTTCTTGTACAAGTTGTTTTCAATTTTTGTGTTATTGTACCGTATATTATTACATATATGTTTAATTTTAGCGTAAATTTGGATATAAATACTATTGAATACGCAGTATTTCAATTAGCTAGAAATGTATCAATTAATTTCTTTTATTTGTATTTCGCGGTAAGTGTAAATTATTGAGTGCAAATAACATCAATACATTGGCTTTCTTTATTATTATTTTTTTTTTTGTATTGATTTAGAGTCCATTTTATATCTATATATGTGTATCGACAAGGTTTCGTAAGCAATTAGCTCATGTGCTCTGTGGAATATATAAGGACCAACTGCAACAAAGAGCAATGCCCATAAATCAAATATCAGCAATCAATTGACACGTTTATATTATGAACTAACAGACATTTTGTCACTTTTTCTTTATATATCAAATAAATATTATGATCATTGACTTTATTTGTTGATCAAATCTATCCTTTAGATTTAATTTATCTCTTATCATCACAAAAAGCTGTTAGCACAAACCCTTGCGGAATTAACGTCTGAAACACGATGTTATTGATAAGTAGTCTTTGATCATATATCAACAACGTCTGTCATGGTCTATATGTATGTGGGAGGGAGGGAGGAAAAGGTGAATCAAGTGTCTATCCTATATACTTCAACACTCCTCTCAGATTTTGTTTCACAAAAAACTAGCTGATAAAAACATTTTTTTAAATGTTCTTTTTATAGTAGAACAAACTTTTACGATCATAATAAAATACTGTTTTTACTTTTTTTTGACATTTCTGAGTTTTACAATAATAATTTACAAACATATTCTGACTATTTAATTGTTACCGTTGACCTTAATAAAGAAATTTAAATAATAAATCTCAATGAGCTAGATCTGACTGATTCAATACTGCGATGGATACCCATGAGTCGAATCTTGAATAAAATATATAATTTTCAAAGATGTTGCACATTTCGATCAAATTTTTTTTTTAAAGTCTCATGTAGTTTTTTCTATTAACTAAAATATTTCGGCAATGAATAGCTAATATATAAAGCAAAAGGTAATATTATTGTCACCTTAAAAAGCTTTCTTTATACTCAAGAAACTTGCTGAATCATCAATTTTCGTTAATACTTTTTCTTCAACTACCAGTGTTGGCTCATCATCATGTAGAAAACAGTATATATCTGAATGAATCAAGTTTCTTTTAAAACAACAATCATTAATATATATTGTTATTAAAAATAAAACAGCAAATACATCTTTATGTTGGAAAATTTTTGTTTTTCCAACTAAAAAACTAGACAATACTGGTGAATTTGAGAGAATTGAAGGTTTTGAAAGTTAGTACAGATGTTACCGGGCATTTGTTGTATGCATCAGCTGCTAGTATTCGAAATATGCTTGCTCATTCTTGTGTTAAAAATTTATCTGAAGCAATTAGATGAGTGACCCAAGGGAGAGTCAGTTTTTAAGCAAAACCATGGGCTGGATCGAGTGAAAGGTAGATAATCTCATCGACCGACTTTCTTCGATCCATTCCAGCCCATCGTTACCTCTAATTTAGATATCAAGTAATAGCATTTTATTTAATCAATTGAAAAAAAAACAAGGTTTTCTGTCAATGACAAAGGAATCGAACCAGTCGTTCGTTTCATTGTTGAATAGATAAGAATTGTTGGAAGTTTGATCAGAAGGTTTATAACACTTGTTTAATAGTAATATTAAAATACTAAATCTTAAACTAGAAGAACATCATATTTTTTTTTATGAGATTAATCAAATGCATTAATAATTTGAAAAAGATTCCCAAAAGTGTGAAAGCTATCTCAAGGCATGATTGTTAAATAATAAACAATAATAATTAACTTGATTGTTTCAGAAATATAGATTGTATTAAAATGTAAAAACTCTATTTTTTATTTTAAGCAAAAAGAAAATTAGAAAATAGTATCTTTTAATAAATCGAAAATATTTTCACACGAAAGCATATGGTCCGATTCCGCTAGAAAATGCAGGAAATTGATAGAATATGGGCGCAGTACTCCAAGCTAGAAAATCTGTAGATTTTTCCCTTGACTGCCGGCCAGGTTCTTGTTTTCCGTAATTGTCAAAATTCCTTGGGAATTACGATAATAAAACTTTTTGCTGGAAATTTTATTATCGAATATCCACCAGACATACGACAATAAATAGGTGTTAGTAAGTAAGGTGTTGTATGAATGGATATCTTAAATGAACAGCCACGGGCACATCAACACTGTTTTCGAATATATGAAGATACAAAACGATCTATGTGATACACTAATTTGAACTATCGCAGGCATACTATAGCAGTGAAAAAAATAAACAATAAACTGGCGTTATACCGCTGATTTCTTCCACTACTCCGTTATACCAGCGACTCTTTCGTTGGTCACGTTGTACTGTCGTTCAAAAAAAAATATCGAATGATGCCGGTGGTTGTTTAACAGAACTAATAATACTTAGGGCATTTCAAAAGTAGTGACAATGACACTTTAATACTGTATAGTAAACTTGAAGAAATTTCCTTTTTTTTTATGTAATGATAGAGAAAACGATGTTCTATTTTTCTGTGCTATTTGATTATTCTTCAACTAATATCATAATAATAAACTTTCGATAAGAACTATTTTTGTGTAAAACTTCACTAGCGGATGAGACAGATTAAATATTACAATCATTTAATGCGTTGTATTAAAAAAAAACAACATATACCACAAGATACAGCGTGAAAAGCTCTACAATTTATAAAGAACAGTTTATTTCATATATGGAATAAGAAAAAAGGAATTTCTTTTTGTATAGAAAAAAAATGATTTTTTCGGAGCAGCAAACATGTTCACACAGAATTTTGCGTTTTTTTGAAAACAAGAAGTACACAATTAAAATGACCTTTACTTTGGAGATTGTAGAGCTTTTCACGCTGCATCTTGTGGTATGTTCTGTTTTTTAGTACAATGTATTAAGTGATGGAAACATTTAATCTGTCTCATCCGCTAGCGAAGTTTTACACAAAAATAGTTCTTATCGAAATTTTATTATTATGATATTATTTGAATTTACTATACAGTACTAAAGTGTCATTGCCACTACTTTTGGAATGTCCTAAGTATATTACTATGATCACAAAATAAACAATTTCAAAAAAACTTGAACGATTCGTCAAATTATAAGTGCAATTTGTCAATAATATTATAGTTATTTTTATCCGCTTATACTATTTACTCCTAGTACTACCAAGCCATTTTAGGCACCGGAAATACTATGTATATTCATTTTTCAACTATCACTCCAGTTTAAATTATACAAATTTCGTGTCGGATATTATAAGGAAGATATTAAAACGATAGTTTTTCTTTCTTAGGAACAAGAAATTCAAAACTTATATTTAGCGCTTTATTGATTAGACACGAATTCTCAACTTGAGAATATGTCAAAAATGACCCATTTGTGGTAGTACTAGAGTTAATATCTTTCTTATCTTTTGTCATAGTTTTGTTCGAATTTTTGGCTTATTGTATTGTAAAATCATTATTATATAGGGTAGCATATCTTATTTGACCTGAAACAGAAAAAACATTAACAGTAATGGCAGTTGTACAAGATGTATGTAATGGATTTTTCATTGCATCTTTATCTTTTTGTTTACTCAATAGCACATAATGTAAGCATTGATGGAGATCCAATCATAGAGCTTGATTCAACTATAACTATATCTTTATATTGCATGACATTTTCTAGGAATATCGATTATTTGAATTTTATTGCTTTATTTTGATTATTTCATATATTTAGAGTATATTATATATTTTATTTGTGTATTGAAACGATTTCGTGGATAATTTCTTTATATAACCTTGACGATTCATTTAAATCGATGTCAACATGGTTTAGCCACGTATGGACTGAAATATGGAATTTACATACTTCATATGGGCTATGAAATAATTTAGTATATATATATTTAATAATAAACAATAATTTAAAGAGTGTAGCAAGTGAACTAAAAACTATTGAATGATTATTAAATAAAGAATAGGACAGAAAGTTTCTAGACAAAATATTTGACTATTTTTCGAGTATTTAACTATATTGGCAGTGTATTAGAATCAAAATTGTGTGCTCCTTCAAAATATATGCTTAGAATTTTTCTGGACGAAAAAATCTCAAATGGATGTTTGAATAAAATCTTTTGAAGCCTATTGAAGTACAGTAAAGGATTTTATAAAGTCTATCGCCAGGAAAATGGCTATTTTTCTGATTTTCACCAAAACGATCCTCCATCACAACTCTACCATTTTTTAGCGGATTAGTCAAAACTCTCCATTATTGCATCATTTTGTAGAGTAGAGATTACCCCTCAAGTATTATATATCTTCAGAACTTATTTGATGTTTAGAGAAAGCAGATTTTGTCTTCAGAAAAATAAGATTTTTACCTCTCCAGAAAATTTTTCTGGATCTTATTAAGGTTTACTTATAGCTCAATAGTCAAAAGTCACAACAATCTTTTAAGTAGATATTCTGACAGGACATAAAATTCTGATTCGAATGCACTACCATAAATTTAAATACGCAAAAAATCGTCAAATAGTTTGTCTAGAAACTTTCGGTCTATCTTTTAATTTATAGTACTTGATTTTATTCTACTCCAATAAAATGAATCATACTACGGTTTATTTCACTTAATCTCAACAAGAACAAGTATCGAGCTTTTAAAAAAATAGGTATATACATAAATCGACATTTAGTATTAAATACGATACAATAACATTAATGAGAAAATCTCTGATTTCATTTAAATTTTTCAATAGAAAATGTATCCTTACACATTAAAAGTAGTCATATTTTAAAGACATAGTTCTATAAAAAAAAGACTCTTTTTTGCAAACAAAAACAATTATTGATTTTTAAACTTTCTAATATAATGATTTGTTGCAGATTATCTATTAAAAGAATCTTACTCTTGTACATTTTGTTGTAATGATTGGAAATGTATTGACTATCATGAAATTTTTTTTGTTAAATCTAGTTTCATTATTATTCAATGTGTTTTTATTCATAGAGTATAATATCTATCAATGAAAATAAAACAAACTATACAATCTTCTATTATGATCTTATCTTTCATGTTATTTCATGAATTCATATTATAATATTGTTAATCACGTGTTATTATATTTCTTAAGCTATACAAAAAATTCTTATTGGAATAACACTCAACTTATACAATACAATACCAACAAATCAATTAATGACATTTGTCGCATATACTTTTAATAAAAACTATGTCTTTAAGACATTCGTAAATAAAATGTATAATGTGTTGTAAAACTATATACATTTCGGTTCCTATACAATTCATTTCAAAACTATATTGTTTATAATCTTAATATTCTTTGCATAGATATACACTCGTGCACAGAATATACTTATTCAAGGAGAAGGAATGATTACTTTTATTAGAATAGTAATACATGTTGTCTACATGGCTAATATAAAAGATATTTAGATATTCAATTGAGATGAAACAATGTTTAACGACAAAATTATTTTCGTTAGCAATTCTCATTATTTTAAAAAATTCGAATTGTATTCGATAATGAACAGAAAAATATTCTTTCTGGAGAACTAAATCGTTCTTAATCTCTATCAAAATAATACATTTGCTTTGTATAGCCTTAATTTTTATAACTATTTCTTCTACTTTGAAGATTAATAATAATGGTCAATGTCATTGTACGATATCGTCACTTATGAATAGAATAACATGTTGGCCAAAAAATATCATAATAATTCTACGCAACAATCAATATGATACTACAAATGTTTACGATAAATAAATCGATGAATCTAATACATTCATAGATTAATCTTTTTTATTCTCGAAATGAAATGACGTGTTTTAAATAAAGACCACGCATGTAATTATATTCGCCCCAATATCTTAGAATAGAATAAAAGATAATATATGATAATTTGTTGAAGTGCACAGAAATAAAAAAAAAAAGTAATGTTGATACTCTTATGTAATAAAATAAGACAATCCATCGTCTGGAAATCAATAGAATATAATAGAATAAACATTAGCCTTATATTAAAATACAGTAATATAAAGACACAAAGCAGTATGTTATAATCATTCATAGTTTTAGCTCAATCAGGCACACACCTGTTTTAGGTTAATCTCATTCTATGGCGACATCATTTTTTACCATAAGCATGTCTTGTCACTATTAATATATTAACAATTGACGTCTCTTCATTACGCCTACATCAACATATATATAAACAAAAAGACAAGCTTTCTTTATTTTACAGAAAGAGACCCACACATTCATACGTACATACTAACAATTAGCATTATGTACGTTTATCACTATTGTTTATGTCTTTTGGCATTCTCTATTTTAATTAAGTAAGTGTAATATACCTTAAATATTCTTTGTGTTTTTTATTTATTTAAGCTAATTCAGTTCGAGATATGTTGATCGATCATTTGATAATGAACCAGACGAAGATTTATATCTTCCAAATAATTATTACTTAGGTCGTGCTGGTCGACCGAGTTTTCTCGAACGATATTTGCGTAATCTTATCGTTGACGATATTCGTGATGGCGAAAAATATGATGAAGGAATGATATTTAAACGGCGAAGTAAAGCTATTACAAAAGGTGATCCACGAGAATTTATGGGTTAAACATGCATTTTTTTATTGTATACGTTTTTTTTTGTATTGAATTAAAATAAATAAATATTTAATCCATAAATGCATATAAATAACTTAAATATATATTAAAGAGAAAAGAAATGATCGAAAATTTTGAAATATTGAAATTGAAATAATAAAATTTATTTGTTTTGTAAGGAAAAAACAAAAGTAAAATATATATTCTGATCTTCAAATAATCGACTCTTTACCCTTAATCGTACTGATAAATTTCCTTGGTTGAAATAGCAGATAAGAATCGATTTATCATAATTGATTTATCATCTTGCGACTATTTGTGCATTAACTGTCTTTTATAATTTGCACAATTAGTATTCATTATAACTTTGTTTCTATGATTTACTTTTTTTTCGCACCTCATTATCGAGAATGAATCAATACTGCGTAGTTATTAAGATAGATCTATATCTATTGAAATATCCTTTTTCAAAATTTACGCCCACAACAAAAAAGAAACTTTGTCAATTTCTTTTACTTATTTCAGAATATAACATTTTATCAACGTTTATGAATACATATTTCAAAACAGGTAATAAAACAATGTGATCATTTTGTATCTATATCTAAGTAAGCACATATATATTCAATGAATAATTTTAACTGTTCTAAATATTCAAATTAAAAAAAAGAATGAATTTAATGACATTTCTCATTTTGATATCATCAAAAATCTTTTCTTTTTATAGAATCATAAAATTCTCTCATTCTAACAATTAAATACAATCAAAAATTTTCAACAGTATATGATATTGTTGCAAAATCTGTTTTAACTATAAAGTCAAATCTTTGTATGAATCAGTTTATATGCATCTAATACAAAAGAAAAATTAATATACATTGAATTATTCATTCAATAACAAATCCTAATCGATGTCTAACTCCTCCATAATAGACAATTATTTCATTAGTTCTTTTTTTTTTCGTTTAAGCAAAACAATAGCAATGACTGTAGAATGACAATATACTTTGATAGACGACTGACAGCAATTGTTAAAATTAGATCTCAAATAGAGAAAAGACGTTAACTATATATATCAACAAAAGAATCATTGACTTGTCATCTAACTATTGAACAATAATGAATCATAGTTATTATATATGACGACATAATATTTCATATTTCTTAGAAGTGGGCGATGGTTGATTTTATCTTTTGTAAAAAGAAAACGAGCAGAACCATCTTTTTGTTTTTTTTTACAAAAGATAAAAATGAAATTTTGTCTAATCTGTGTATTAAATAATTAAAATTGACTAATATCGAAACTCTTCAATTAATATGAATTAAATGATTAATAAACTCAATTTTCGATAATTAAAAAGAAAATAAGAAAAAAATTTCAACAGAAATCTAGCAAAAGACTTATGATATTTAACTTAAAAATATTGATGACAAGAACAAAAGGTAATAAAATGTTGTATTTTAGAAGGGTAATAGATGAGAAAGAAGATGAACAATTCGACTTAAGAAGAAATATTCCGAAATGTTCATTCGATTTTAAGTCAGAACTTAGTGGATCTTTTAGGTATTAGTGAACTATATCTATCATAAAAAGAGTTTATTCTAATGCCTTGTCTTTGAGGAAATCGAACGTTTTTAATGAATTTCAGCTGTAGAATCTTACATTTACAGCAAAACCATATTTTCGAATTTTAATCTGAAACTTGTGCATATAGAGAATTCATCTAGACTAGCTTTCAAAAAAAATCCAGAAGTTTTGAATAAAGTCTCTTCGAAATATGAGACTCAAGAAAGAGATCATTTTTCAAGGATAGTGTATACAACATACATTTTTTGAAAAGCTTCATACGTTGAAGAGAGTTTGTTCCAAACTTCTGTATTTATTTTTTATAAAAGCTAGTCTAATTGAGTTCTCTATCTGCACAAAGTTTCATATCAAAATTAAAAAAGTGGTCTTGCTATAAAGGTGTGATCTTAATACAGCCAAAACTCGCTGAAAAACCATTCAATCTCCTCAGAAACAAGATATAAGGGCGATTCCTTTGTTTTTTGATAGATATAGTTCACTAAAGTCTACAAGATGCACTAAGTTCCGAGCTCAAAGTCAAGCGAACATCTACGAATGTTTCCTCGTTAGAAAATATCATGATGATGATGATGAAAATTAGAACTACTAATTAAACATACTGTTTAATTATAAAAATAAATACTTATCTGTTAATTATGATAAATTCAAATGATATTGTTCAACATATGATCTATGATATCTTTAATTATAAATCTGTGCAGAATTGATCGATAACATACCATCAATCAATCAATCAATTTTGTTAATCATATACTTATACTTTTACTATTTGTTTACAGAAGAGCAATACATAATGTTTAACAGATATACATTTATAGATATATTTGTATGTATTTTTATCATGTGTCAATAATAGATTTTGTTATTTTTCTCAATCAATGGTTGACGATACGATAAAATAATTATTTAATCATATGATTGATAAAGGAATATACAAACAGAGACTTCACTATCGATGTTCATTTTCATACATATTTTTCTTCAATTTTTCCATTAACTAAGTACGTCTTAATATAAGTTCTATATAACATTACATCAAAATCAACAAAAGAAAGTTAAGATCTTGATTATCAATAATAGCAAATATTAGAATTCTATTTAATAATATTTCAGATTTCTGCCTTTATACAGAATAAAAATGATATAGTTCTTTTAGCCATAATTTATCATATTTGTATTAACAACATCAATGGGAAACACAATAAGTATCATTATCTCGTTCTTCGAGTGAAAAATGACAAATTCATAGATTTCAACTTTGTATTAACTATTCGAATGTACAATTTTTTTTAAATCAAAATATTATTGATCCTTTGGAGTTTCGTGATCAATAAGTAGTTCAAGAATTAAACTGTTTTTTTTTTGATTGTAAGAATCTTCATTATTGAATATTGAAATTATATTAAATTTTCCTGAAAAACTCTCATTTCTGCTTTAGACTCGATCGAAAATTGATTTTTAAATTTTAATCTACAACGAAATTAGGTTATCTCGAGAGCTTTAAACTCGTTGGATTTATCTTTTACAAAAAAATAAATAAATATCAATAATTTATTTTGTATATAAAGATAATCCTAAGCACAAATCTTTTTTAACATGAACCATTCTCAAAATAGAAAGATTAGACAACATGAAATTTTTATAAATAATTAAATTTTACTGAGATATTAATCCGTAATTAAGAAGACAGGAATTCGATAGTCGATTTTGAAAATAAATCTATAGAAAAAAACCAGTTCATCAAATTGATAAAATATATAACAGTGTTAATATGTTCGAGATAAAGATTTTGAATCAAAACAAAAAAATATTTTAGATGAATCAACAGAAAAAAAAGTACTTTTTTGATGAAAACTTATTGATTGCAATCATTTTGTTTTTATATCTTAATAAAATCTGTCTTTTATATTGTAGGTTTTCTTATTATATTAACAAATTTTTGCACGCATAAAATCACGAGATTATTTATTATACATTTTGTTTTTTATTCGTTATTTAAAATTTATCTTGTTTACTTTTACGATACATCATATATATAGAAAAGGAAGATACACAAGTCCTAATCTAATAAATAAGAACTAATGAAATGAAGGAAAAAAGATATTCAAATGACTAAGTCCAATGTCTTATGATGTTTTGACAGATCAATACAAAATTTAAATTGATAATATTATTGATCAACATGATATTAATCGACCATCGGTTTTTGAACAAAAATAACAACGATTTTCAAACCATGTTTGTTGTCCTGGTAAAACTAATCGATGAGAACTAATATTAATTTGAAGTAAACATGGTTTTGTTTTGATTGATGTTGGTCCTGATGGTAATAAACTATATTCACCAATAGCCGATTGTTTTTGATTATTATTCTTTAAAACTCTATTCATGTTAATATTAATCTTAAGAATTTGATCACAATTAATACATGTTCTTTGTCCATTGATACATGTACAAGAACGACATTTATCATTAGGTGGTGTAAACCATTTTGAACCCGATGGAAAATAATACATTACTAAAACAGGACGTGTTTTTTGTAAGAGACAAGGACGATTACATGTTGCATGAAGAAATTCACATGTTAAACGTCCATCTGTTTTACATGAACATCGAGTACATGTATTACGATCGATCCATGATGTTTCACGAGGTATTTCAATATAACGACTAGATTTTTCACTAGTATTTGATGATGATAAACGTTCAATTAATATGCAAAATTTAGGTGTAGTTCCTATTGGACATTGTGATCGCACACGTAAATTAGTTAAACGACGTGGAACATTTACTGCATTCGATGAATCAATATATGGGTAACGATGATTTCTATAAAAAAAAAAAAAGAAGCAAAAGAGATAAGTATATTATAAATCAATATTCAGTTAATGATAACATATTCAATCAAGAAATATCTATTCAATTTTGTTTTTTTTTCTCGGAAGTCATGAAATACATTTCTAGTCACGTATTCATTTCCGTCTTGTATTCAAAAATAAGTTTCTTTTGACTTATTATATAAATTATTACTTTGATGTTTGAAATTGTTGTTGACTAATTCTTTGTCGAATATTTGTAGTTCGATTTCTTTTTAATAATGGTGGTTTTCTACATAACCAATGTCCACCTTTCGAACATCTACAACCAATACATCCATCTCTTGATCGTACACGTACACCAGGTTGATTTGTTGAACAAATCTTTGTTCGTTGTCGTATGATAGGTACATTTGGAATTGGCCATTTAGCTAAATCATTTGCTGTTGGTGATGAACCATGATTTGTATGAAGTAAAGTCAATGAATCAGCACTAACGGGTTTTTTCGGTATTAATTGACTGTAGAAAATGCGAATGTTGCCTTGTTCACAAACACAATATGGAGCACCTGGTATATCTATTCGACCCCAGGTAGCACCATTTTTAAAACGATACCCTTGATACCAACATTCACCGGATGCAAAATCTGGTCCTGACCATGTATAAAGCTTAATATCAGCTGGACGACACTCTATATGACTATTATCGTCTGGTGACATCGGAACGAGGCCTAAGCATTGATGCTTAGGCCTCGATACCAACAACAAAAGTAAGACAAACACAAGATACAACACACGACACAACAAAGATCTACAGAAAAGATTTTATATTATCAAATATATTTCAAATTATCTTGAAATAATTTACTTACATCGAAACACAATTCAGTGTTGAAGCCAGACTCTTGTACTAATGGTAACGTCGTTCGACAATGTGTCACTCACAAATGATTTTTATCTAAACATTGAAAATTCTCATATATTCTTGTTCTACAACTATTTGTCAATGTCAAATGAGAAAAATGAAAAAGAATAACATCAACAGAGAAAATAGAATTTGTATGAAAATTTGTATAATTATACATTGTTTAATATTGATGGTAACAATATTGTTCTCATATATAAATCAGAATGTTTTTTCTATTCTGGATATGACAACAAAAAGCAAGGGACAAGTATTACATATCAACACGCTAATCATTATCTACAAGCAACATTCATACATATACATTTAAAATAAACAGAACATACACACATAGTTGCTGTCTCTTATTTGATATGATTAAAAAACACTTCTCAATAGTACTATTCAAAACAGTAGACATACCAAAGTGTTGATTGATTAAGAAGAGTACGCGATATAGAACCATAAATATATGAAATTTTCTTTTTCAAGGTAACATTCAAATAAGTCAAGTGAATGGAAAATGAGAAGGCGCATATATATATATATATATATATTAAAAGAAAAGGAAAAAAAAAGGAATAATAAAGGAGCAACAAACATCACCAAATAATCCATCTACTTGAACAAGAGTCGAAGCAATGAGTCTCTTTGTTTTCAAGTGGGCCAATATGTAAAATGGTATTCGTCAATCAAAAAAAGAAAACAGAGCTTCTATGTTCTTAAACACAAACGCTCAATTTTTTTATACATACGTCATGTGTTTGAACATACCTCACCTTTGTGGTTTTTTTCTACTTTTTCTAAAAGTCGGTTTTTTTAATGTAATATTCTCTACTTCTTTCTTAATTCACTTTTTTTTTTTGATGATGTAAAATTATTCTTGTGGCTTCAAACCATATAGAAATTGCATACAATAAGTAATCAGCTGTATATGTATGTCCCTTTCTCTCTTGCTTTCTTCCCCTCTTTCTTTCAATCAAAATATTTTTTAGACAAAAAAAAGAAACGAGAGCACAAAGAAAAAATGTCAAGAATTCATAG